AATGTCTGCCAAGCGAAAACTGCTGTGCATAAAATATTAATGCATGAAGGTTTGTGAAATTTTTCAGACTTTCATACCCCACTTTTCAAGAATTACGGGAGGGTCTTTCATTATGACTACGCATAACCGCACAAGACTACCTGTCAAAGTGATAACTTCTAAAAGAGAGATTGTGAATTGATAAATTGAAGGCCAATCATTTTTCAAGAAATTCAAGATTTTGAGGCTTCATTTCAATGTAGACACCATCTTTGACATTTAAAGTGAATCATTGATCCAATTTTTGAGAATGCAAGTTGAAAATTTAACTTGATCCCTGTGCCAGATTCGCCCACCAAATTCTGAAAAATTCCAATAAGTGATCTAAAAAATCTAAAAGAACTAAGCTTTAATGCACCGAGTTGAAAAATTGAAAGATTTTTCCAGGGGCAAAGCCGACAACCAGTCTCACCTATCGATTGTAAAGCATAGCCAGTAAAGATGAATTTCAGAATCGGAAGAAACTTGATCACAATAAAATAGTGCTAAAATGAATCCATTGGTACCAGGAAAAACCATTTTTCATTTGTTAGGAAATTCGAATAACAATTGTGTGGCTATAGCGGATTAGGGGACAAAAACTAAATCTGTTCCAAGCAATAAATCAATATACTAAGAGATTGGTTTTGACAAGATACTGCAGTACAGTACTCCCTCCAAATCACTTGGATAAATTCTTGCATCTTCTTAACTCTACCATAAAAAAATTCTTCATGCATGCTGTTGCATGGATAGTCCACTAAATAATGAAGAATTTCACTTTGAAGGGTAAAGTAAAAATCATAACCTGTGCTTAATCACTGAATTGCGATGAGTGTAGGTTGGCAAGAATAATTTGTGGGCTTATTCAGCAGTCCACTGTAGTCGATTCCTTCCGAAAACTCCACACCAAATAAATTAATTGAACAATTGTATATTTGGGAGTAGACGGCAGAAATAGATAACAACCCATGTGTCTCTTAAGCCCTTCTATAAATAGTCGGATTTCGTGCTTTTTCATTCATAAGACACCGAAATCTATTCAACTGAAAAATAATCTCACCAAAAATCTTGACCAAATCTTCCTGCATCGCAAATCACTAGGAAAAGGGATTTTTTTCTTCGAGAGCAACGCAACCCGTATTTCTGGATCGCATCTCGTATTCTTCTAAAATGGAAAGACACTTATTGCAAGCTGCAACGGAACCAATAACATAAACGATGAAAGAAAGGAAACAAAATCACATTGACAAATGCCACAAACGGGTTTTCAGCTGCATTTCAGGAACTTTTCGAAACGATGAAGCAGTATGGACAGATATTTCCCATCTGCATCGAATGCGCACAGCCGAAGATAATCCGAGCACACGAGAACCAAGCTACAATATTTCTATAAATCATTACACGACTTGCACCTCTCCATAACTTTAACAACAAAAAACCACTGCTGTACTGAATTGAAGTTAGTACAACAAAAAAGTTATAAATTGGGCAATGAATGAAAGCTAAACTTCCAAGAAATTGAAAATTGGACCCTGTATCTCTGACAATGAATCTCAGTGAAGTCCGGAAGTTCTCGTGAATTCATAAAGACAAAATCGATGTTAAAAGAGGGATACGGCAATCGAGATCCTTTTCTTTCAGAAATGACGATCACTTCCACACTAACCACATCGAAGCACGTTTTGTTTCCAACACAAATAAAGACCTCCTCGTGACTTGAGTAAAACAAACAACCATCTTATTATCGGTCGTTAAACTTGAATGAGCAGAGTTGAAATTTCGATCAGACGAGAAAACTATTTTATAACGTAGAAAACTTTCGAAGTTGTCACAATGGTTTGTTCATCATCCACTAAAATTCCGCGAAGTCGACAAAGGAAAAAAAAAAAAAACAACAAAAAGCTCAGTATGAAATGCAAATCGCTGACTAGGAATACATTGGCGGAAGTCGATGTGGAATGAACAAAAATTTACGAAAATGAAGAATGAACAAAGGCAACTATCACATACTTCATCGCAGGGTGCTCAACGTGTTGCGTTTCTTCAAAGCCCGTAAGGCGCACTTTGCAGCCGTGGACTTGGCGATTCGGTAATTTCTGCCGATCCCTCGAAACGTACCTTTGCCAAAAACTTCAACGGATACGCGAACTCGTCCATCTAGCAGACGTTCGGGTTTCCTGGAGGGAAAAAAAACATAATTGAAAGAAAGTCTTTCCTTATCTCAAGGACAAAATGCGGAAAAAGTAGAGATATTTGAAATAAATTCGCCAGCAGAGATTCGACTATGAAGGGGCAAAATTGAGCAACAAATAAGAAGTGAATCGATAAATACAGACGCGGAATGATCAATTCAAAATACTTCCACCGGTCACGACCGTGATTCAAATTCCTCCTTTCAAACCCGATAAATCATGAAGAACGTGTTCTCCTCAAATCAATACAAACTTGAATCTCTGAACGACAGGTTCAGCTGAATTAAAAACAAGAAATTAACTAACTAATTCAAAAGTAAATACAGTACATGTATAAGCTAATTCGATTCCGATACAACCTCCCGAACCCTGCGTAAAGGAATGCATTATACACATAAAGAGACGATAAGTGAAAAAAAATAAAATAAGAAAACTAATCCCCAGATTCCGACATTAAGCACATATCTTACCCAAATTTAGCAGTCTCCGGTTCCATCTCCAGCAATTCCCTGATTGGCGACTTAGGAACGGAAGAGCTAAAACGTTCTGAAAAAAAATTAATAGAAGTTCATTAGTTTATCAGCACTCGGAAGCTAATCAGCTTGATCAAATTCTTAGCAACGAAAACACAATGGCTGTAAATTTAGCAGGTAAACATTCAGGGAAAAAGAACCAGTAAAGGACGTAAAAAGCCATTAAGACGCGAAAAACACGTAGAAAAGGTTTTATGAAGCACTCTACGCTGAAAGTTGAAACGACGTCGAGTTTCATTGACAGNCAAAAAAAATTAATAGAAGTTCATTAGTTTATCAGCACTCGGAAGCTAATCAGCTTGATCAAATTCTTAGCAACGAAAACACAATGGCTGTAAATTTAGCAGGTAAACATTCAGGGAAAAAGAACCAGTAAAGGACGTAAAAAGCCATTAAGACGCGAAAAACACGTAGAAAAGGTTTTATGAAGCACTCTACGCTGAAAGTTGAAACGACGTCGAGTTTCATTGACAGCTTTTCGCGAGGATCACATTTTAAGTACAGTTTTTAAAAATTCCATGAATTCTTCATGCATGAAGTAGTATTTCTACGTATTGTTATTCGCGAATACTGTATGATCTTCATGTCTGAGGAAATTTAATAACTCCGTCGGTGTCCACCAGCAGCATGGAATTAAATAATAAAATTATGCATAAAATTCCCAAAATCTCGACATTGCCGTTCATTCAGTTTGATTTTTTTCAAGAATTGAGAGTTTATGAGCATAGCGTAGGTTTTACAATGAAAACTGATTTTAATTTTATTCTAACAAGAAACTGGAAAAGCTTTGAGAATCTTCAAGATGAGGACCGAAAAGCTATTCACCTATTTGTTCGCACATCAGGCGATAATAAACAGTCCAAACAGCATCTAGAGACAACCCAGAGTCGAGGTAAATCGCTCCAGCGACGGATTCGAAAACATCTCCCAATGCTTTCGGAACTTCCACATCTTCCGCTTCTTCCACATCCTCTTCTTCCAACCAATAAAATTCGGGAGCGATTTCATGCTTGTTCTCTTCCTGCATGGCTACAAACTTTTCAACCACCGTCCAAAGCCCGGGCGACAAGTGTTTGAAGTACTTGTGGAAATCGTATTTCACGGCCAACGAGGCAAAGATCGTGTTGTTCACCAGAGCACTTCTGAGATCCGTGAGCGCCCCGGGGCTGTGTCTCCGTGGGTCCTCATACAAATGCCGCGTAATGAGGTAATCTGCAATTCAACAACACTGCTCAGTACACACCTGAAGGCATCTGAAAATTTCTACAATTGCCTGCTCGTGACAAATACCATACAACTGGAGAATCANAATGCTTTCGGAACTTCCACATCTTCCGCTTCTTCCACATCCTCTTCTTCCAACCAATAAAATTCGGGAGCGATTTCATGCTTGTTCTCTTCCTGCATGGCTACAAACTTTTCAACCACCGTCCAAAGCCCGGGCGACAAGTGTTTGAAGTACTTGTGGAAATCGTATTTCACGGCCAACGAGGCAAAGATCGTGTTGTTCACCAGAGCACTTCTGAGATCCGTGAGCGCCCCGGGGCTGTGTCTCCGTGGGTCCTCATACAAATGCCGCGTAATGAGGTAATCTGCAATTCAACAACACTGCTCAGTACACACCTGAAGGCATCTGAAAATTTCTACAATTGCCTGCTCGTGACAAATACCATACAACTGGAGAATCATGCAGAAATTTGACGAATAGCGGTGATCCAAATAACGAACGCCTCGAATAATGAACTTTTGCACAATGGACGAGCAATTTATTCAAGAGAAAAAATTTTCTCTAAAAAAAGATTACATGGGCTGGCAAAGATTTTTTTCTCTTTATAATAGACTGCAAAAAAGCCGTTGTTCTTTTAACAATAAAAGTCGCAACAGGAAATATGTCTGTCAACAGTATTCTGCAATTGGAATACCTCCTGATTATGTTGAGCGTCTGATTACTTTGTCTTCGTGGGCTTTTGTTTTTACTACAAGGAATTTCAACGTTGAAATTTCTTACATCTGAAAAATATACACCTTCTAATTCAGTATTTTTTTCTGGAACAATAAAAGGATGTAATTTATTTACTCCCATCTAAATTCTAGTTTGAAGCACGCTAACTCCCAACTTATTCCGTATCTTTAAGAACAAGGAAAGAAGTCGTACTTTGAGCCTGGGCGGAAAGTACTTAACACAAAAAATAATAGAAGACCGTAAGGTCACGTAAAAAAGGTCAGCATTTTGAGATTGGCGGTTTCAAATCGCTCTTAAAATATTTTACTGATCGATTCGAATTCGCCAATTTCTTGACAGAATTATTCGAGTTTTGATGACCCTCAAACAATTATTAGAGCACGATCCTCCGTTTCTTAGTATTTTGCTTGTACATTTCAGAAGACTGTTCGTAATTTGAGACGTGCCTGGATGCAAGGGGAACAACTTGTTTTGCATACCAAGATTCACCCCACAGATGGTCTTTGTCTCCCCTTCTGTGTTGTTGACCGATTTTTGGCGCACATGTTTTGCAGCTGGGGTTTTCCTGACTACGACTAGCAAAACCTAGAAGGGGTATTGAATTTCGAGGGGCAAGGATGAACGGATCGCCCTCTTCTTGGACGCTTCTGGTCATTTTCAGAAAGTCTCTTGACAAAACGCTGCTCTTTTTTTTTTTTTTTTTTTTTTGCCCCGTAGAGACTCTATTTCGGCTCAATGCGCGTTAATATTTAAATATTCGCGTTGCAAATTTTTGAGTGGCGGGCCTTACCGCTCGTTTTCTAATTAACGCATCATGAGTTCGTGCAAAATTGATTGGTGCTCTACTGTTGTAAAAAAAAGTGCATTTACTCACAAGAACGTGTGTGAACTCCGCGATCTTCATGCGATTTTAGTTTATAAACCGGCTGCGGTCTTTCTATTCACGCGCTCACTATTTTGAGACAGAGACAAGTAACCTCAAGCAACATAAAATCTCTGCAGCATTCACTGAGCTGAATCAAGGCAACCTTACGCAACATTATAAAATAATCCTATTCACTGTATTGACTCTCGCGGTGAACTGGATAAAAGGGAATCTTGCATCATCGCAAATCTGAAACCCACAGTTTACTGCATCCTCAAAAATTGGTATACATGAAGTACTGTCTGTCTATCGTGAAACAGACTTCAAACTTCACATGGTGTCTCATAAATTGCCTCTCACGAAGCTGACAACATGCAACCTCTGGAACTATGCTGAGATACTCATGTTCCCCATTAAAGCTGCCAAATAATATCCATCATCAATTAGCAAAATTTAATATTCATACAGCTTGGAGTCATAACACCAGTTGTTAGTTGAGCAAAATCAACTTCAGGAATGCCGCACAGCAACGTTCTGTCAAATAATAGTGGTTATACTCATTTCAGGTTTTCAAAATCATTCCATGATAGAACGAATCCATTCAAAAGAAAACTTTTTATGGAGCACAGTCCTGTCCGTTTTTTCGTGCTTGTGTGGGTCTTCTAGTTTAAAATTTAAAAAAAACCGTTTTAAAGAAAACAAGAGGCGGCATTCCTCCCTGAATTTCATCTCAGTACTGTATAACTTTTTAATGCAATTGTAGGTATATATCAAAAAGAAATACAGACAATGTATCCGGAATGATACGGCATGGCATTGAGTTGATTTATCTTTCCAATAACCACACATCCATCATCTCACAAAAACGCTCGTCCCATTTAATCAAAAATTATATTCACGCCTTAATCTATTTTTGGTCAACGTATTTCCCTCTTCAATAATTTTAGGAGAAAGCAACAAAACGATGCAAATATCTGAAAAATGAAACCACTCACCTAAGACAGCATCTCCAAGGAATTCGAGACGCTGGTAACAGTCTGTCAGATGATTCGTAGAAAATGAAGCATGTGTGAAAGCTTGCAGCAAATACATTCGATTCCGAAACCTATAGCCAACGAGTTCTTCAAAGCTTTCGTATCCATCCAGCAACTCATCCAACATGATCCGAGGTTCTTCAGCTTTCGGCATGTTCGAGCACGGGACCTCCCACATGCCGTATATTGTTTTCTCTGGTTCTATCTCTGGAGTAGACAAAAAAAAGTTCGTTCGAATAAGAAGAATATTTCAACTTTTTCCTTACAGTAGTTGACTAATCAGTTCTTAGTTAAACCAAAATGGAACGAGTCTTTCATCGAAACTTTCACGGGCACACACGAGGAGGCAAATTTTAAAAAGAAGCACGTTGCAGACGTGAATCAAAGAGATTACAAGATCATGATTAAATCGAAAGTTTAAAATAGACAACAGAAATAATTGTACTAACAACAAACATTAATAATTAGTAAACAAACATTAACATTAGTAATTGTAACAGTGATAATTGTACATCAAGTTTGTTTAAAATCTTTCTTCGGTGCACTTTTGTATACTCGCTCTTTTGTGTACTCGAATTATATCTTTTGCTGTATTGAAAGCAACTTAAAAAATGAAAAATAATAAAATTCAGAGGTAGAAAAAAAAACAAATTGATGCGCAACTTTCTGCGCAGAACCCGGTGGATACGAATTTAATTTACATAGAGGAACACGACGTGTTAAGAGTTAGTTGAGGCCTCAACAAGTTACTCCCAAGTGCGAGTGATGCCTTAATCAATCTTCGAGTACTGGACATCACGCACGAGCAAATTTTCCCTCACGTTTCTTTGTCTGCATCATTCCCATGACACAGCCGGTTTCTTCCAAAACGGGCAAAACACGAAGTCCGAGCCACGACATGAACAACAACGCGCCCCGCATGCCACAAGACGTGAGATACGCTCCGATCAGGGCTTCCACACAATCAGCCACACTCTTGTCAGGGATACTGTGCTGAGTGAGCAAATTGTACGGCAAAAAGCACGGCAAATCCAGCTCCTTTACTTCAGTTTGCGTCGTCGTCACAACATTGCCCAAAATGGCAGCAGATTTCTCTTTCACAGCGGCTCGGATTCCGTCAGCGTCCAAACGAGTGAAATCGGGGAGTTCAGCGAGATTCCAGTGAGCTTCGGGAACACCAGACTCGATCAGGGCTTGTTCGAGCTCCGGAGGTACGCAGTAACCAGGCGGTAACCAGTTGTCGTGGGGTTCGAATTTGGTCGCGACCATTCGTTCTCCCAATCCTCGTCGCTTGCCAAGACGGTACAAATGAACGTTGCTCACCTACAACACGGAAGATGCTAATTCAGAAAATCTCGTCTTTCAATGAACGTACTCGTTCTACGAACACGGAAGCCCATCGCTGACAACACGGATTCCTAAAAATTTATATCCGCGTTTCACCCTTTGACGCGCTTTACATAGACCAATTTATCATGATCTTCTGGATCAGGATTATGATCAAGATACAGTATCATCTTATAAGAGGCTTCAGAAATCAGTGAAATATGAATAAAATTAATCCTACCGCGATTTGAGCAGGCTATGTAATTTTCCAGTCACTTCTTTAAAACAGCAGCATCGAAGTATCATTTTCAACTACTGAAGTTCCAATTCTATTTTTAAATTCATCACAAGCTTGAAAAGGATAGACTTTTACCAAAATGTCCCACCAAATTAAGCGTCAAGTGATGCATAAGGCTCAAACGTATCAGAGAGAAGCATCTCAACGAACCTGTCTTGATCTCAGGTAGCTCAACTTCCCTTCATGCACGTCCGGATACGAAAGAAACAGGAAGGTGGTGACCGAGAATTTCAAAAACGAATCGCCGACAGTTTCCAGACGCTCCAAGTTGATGCCATCATTCGCATTAGACATCGTCAGAGCTTGGAGAAGAATGCTGGGATTTGGACCAGGGTGTTTATCCGGATCCGCTTCGTCATCGAACTTGACCCAATTTTCATTTTCGATGCCTCTCGGCGTGATCACGCCATGTGCGCGGAAGTACAAGTCCTCCGTCATCACTGAGTTCACAGACTCGCTTTTCTTTCGGCTTCGTCGAGCAATTTCGTAATTTTCACATTCCCTCACCAGCAATTCCAGACTAAAAAAAATCGCGAGATAAATTAAAAATCTGCGTTGGAAAAAGAATACACGAGTTGATGGAATACTGTATACGTCAATTTTCCCAAACGTGCCGGTGGGTCAGGATAACTTACGCGTAGAGTAACTTTCCAGGCATAAATGCTAGCTCCAATTTTTTTCACATTATTTTTGCAATATTGAGGGGCCAAAATAAGGTACGTGGAATCAGGAATAGAGGGTCAACGGGTTTTGCATAAGAATGTTTTAAAAAGTATTTAATGCAGGTGAAATCTCTCTCTAGAACGATTTTATTATGCACTGCATAACGAATTCATCTGGTCCCATTTAGTTTCTGGACCCATTACATACTAGGGTTCGCTATAACGAAATTCGTTCAAGGAATATTTTTCTTAACCCCTGAATTCCATTGTAGAGAGAGTCCACTGGCAACAGCCATTCCTACGCATTTTGGCAACGATTTCTAGGAAGTTCGGGAAGAAATTATTGAAGAACAAAAATGGACAAAATACAAATTCGTCCTTCAGCAAAAGCTCATCAAAAATGTTAACACCACTTCACTTCAGTGTTCCTGGATACGGTCTAGGAGAAAAATTCTTTCTGGGATCGACAGATCACTACAAAAAATCATACAAAAAAAGTCATGCACCTGGCATATGAACAAAAAGTAGTGTACTAGGATCTTGAATAAAACTCGTTGAACGAAATCCTCACCTTGAAAGGTCTTCAAAAATCGTACAAGATTTATTCGAGGCACAACTCGGCGTCTTATCTTGGAACATCTCCACACGATCGCAGACACGAACAACGCAGCTTTCCGTCTCGTCACTCATCAAGCGACGCATCATCTCTTCAACACGACTCTCCACGTCATTCTTCAATTCAACCATTCGCCCGTCTCCTTCTTCGAGATCAGTCGGTCCTTCCCAGTCCAATTCTTCCCTGGGCTCGATGTAGATATCGGAGTCGTTGGTGAATCCGTTGGCGACACTTTGGCCTCGATTACGAAAATCCTTCGCCTCGGCAGTGTTGCTGTCTTTGAACTCAATATCTGGAAAGTCGTCTTCGTCTTCGTCACCCCAGTCAGACTCGCTCGAGTCCATCATTCCATCCAGGTCTTTCATCAATGAGTCCCAATTTGAAGTGCGCACACCCCAAGGATGAATCGACGCCTCCGCTTCACCCCAGCCGTCACCAGCGTCACCCAGACTTCCCCATCCGCCCGTTTCGAAGTTACTCGGTGACCCGTACCTAAAAAGAATCAGAAGTAGCGTTTTAAACGTTAAAAAAAGTAAAAGGTTGGAATAAGTCAGCGCTGCAGTCAGATGTTTTCCCAGTGCCTCGGGGTACCCATGCATCAAATAAAATTCCTCAAAACCTGGGAGGAGGGGGGTGGGGGTTCAATAAAAAAAAAAGGTTTGAGCAAGTCTCCTTGAATTTGCGGAAGACTTCTTCGACGCTCTGATTCGGGCAACTTCTTGCTTGTCAATGTGCTTCTCTGGACAATTTTTACATTCAACTTCGCCAACAACAAAATTATTGTACCAAGATCGGAATAATATTTCCATTGGCAGCTGGTTGTCAGATTTGTTTGTCTTATTTTTATAAATTGTATGTTTATAGATTAATTTCTCTGAAATACTGTATATGATAGCACGAAGACTGCCTGCTTACTATACAATACACAAGTAAGCATTTAAACCTTATTCCTCAAAGAATAGGATGTTCACGTTTTAAACCATTGGCTTTCTTCAATTGTAACTTGGTGGAAAAAAAACACAGTAATCAGGAAATAATAGGAAACTGCTTTGAAGAACTTACGCGAATCAAGTTCATCCAACAAAGGAATTACAAAAAGGACAACGCTAATGATTCAACACTTTTAAGCCTAGTGAAATGGGATACGAGCAGAACCTTTTTGAGTATAACAAAATCTTTTCGCATCAAAGCCATTGAGACCGGGAAAACAACATGGCTAAGAAAGAAAAACGGTGTGTCAGCAGCACGAAGAAAACTGAAATATTGGAGTCTCATCATGAGTTGATTAAAATAACATTGAGGATACTGCGCAAAGGCCTGGACACTGAATTCGTTCTAAAATCATTCGCTATGAAGAGACTATACAGTACTACTTCATCAGAAAAATTAAAATAAATCCGTGATGACACCGCAGAGCTTTCCAATTAATTTGAGATTGTTGTAGAAGAGCGAACAATGATTCTAGAAATGGATCAGGCTACACAGCCATGCTTTTCTTCAAAAATCAAAACAAACATTTTATTTTTATAAATGCTAGCGATCAACTACCCAAATATCAGTTTTACTTGACAGTATTAACTAACCTGAATGTCGATTGGATAACGTTCGAATTGGACACGGCATCGTCCACACGAGTAATCATTTCCAAGTTCATGGGCAGAGAAATCGAGGAATCGTAGAAGTCCAGTTCGTCGTCAGATTCTCCGCCTATACTGCCGTTCAGTTCATCCTTTCCGTCTTTAGCTGAACGATCAGCCATCTCATTCGACCAGGTACCAATTTCCATCATATTCTTGAGGGCAACGCGAAGCTTCTCCTTATCTGCCAGAGTCGGTTCAATCTTTCCATCTTCTCCGTTCGAAATTGACACTGCTCCGCATTCTATATCCGCTATATCCTCAACATTGGCTATATCCGACGCTTGACCATTGCACTGAATGTCTTCAACTACATCCACTGCTGGACCATCGCACTCAAGGTTTTCAACAGAAGGCACCACTTCGGCGGATATCGGGCATTCCTTTACTTCCGGGGTGACTTCAGACAAGTCCACACTTTCGACGCTTTCTGAAACAATATCTGGATCGCTTTTCGCGTCATTGTCCTCTGATAGGGATGCTTCAGCTGATTCTTGATCAACAAGAGAAGCAGCAATTTCAGGAATTGTTTTTTCAATGGCTTTTGATTTTTCACATCGCTCTTTTTCTCTTGCCGCAACTTTTTCTTTCTGCTTTTTGATGACATCCGCAAGGCTCCAACCAAATCCCAACTCGGGCCACTCAAATCCTGAGAAAATTAACAAGCAATTAAAATGCATTGCTAAAGCTTCGACTGTACAGGCTGTTACCAAATTTCCCCCGATTTTACTTTAATCTGGTTTTAACCTCACTCCTCTGGGAACTAATGTAATACATTCCTAGAGCTTACAGAAAATTTAAAGGTGCATCAAAGTGTGATCTCGCGTGATACTAACATATGCTCATATTTTGCGTGACACGAATTCGAGAATTTTGCAACGAAGATAAATCAAAATGGTAATGGGACATCGTAGGGAGCTTTCGTGAATGCTCAAACATGTAAATTAAATCACTATATCTTCTAAAAAGAGTAAGAAATAAATGATACCATCATACGAAATCAATGAAATCCATGGACTGAAAAACTCAATAATTTGGTAAAATCGTTGCTGAGAAGCAGATTTTAAATGAGAGGCTACACGAACCAGCGGTCGGCACGGAGACCAATCCGAATTTCATATCGGCAGCTACACGGGATCGAAGTTCGTCAGCAAGAAGGAGACAGTTCATGCGATAGAGAATGCAAGGAAGGCAAACCGCCTGACGCCATAAAGACGCCGGAAACGGATGTCGGTCACAGAGCTCAGGAACCAAGATCACTTTTTGCTGAAGATTCTCACGACGAGCCTTCTTAGTCGCTTCACTGCATGTCGGCAACGCAACGCCTTTCCTGTTCACGTATCTGCACGTATGACGCCCAAAAATAAATGAAAGTTTCAAAAAATCCGATAAAAATATTAGGCAATACATTCTCGGGAAAAGAGATCGTCAACATACTGTACTCAACAAAAATCCCAACTTTTATCAAAGGGAAGCCGTTTACCTTAATCAGAATTTAAAGGGTGACCAAAAAGTCCAGGTGATGCGAAACCGCAGAAGTCAGTAATTTTCGTTCCTCGAAACGTACATGAGATAGCCTTCAAATTATAGATTAATAAGTCAAGATTTTCTGAGAGTATTGCTTGAAGTCGGAAAGGGGGAAACCCCACGCCATCACGACTAAAAATAAATTTCATCGTGAACCTCAACACTTTCAATTTACAACTGAATAAAGCGATGTTCATGCATACTCAAGGAAGAAAAAAAAAACAAGAAAAGATCTCGAAATTATTTTGAAAATTGAAATGCAATTTCGAATGTCAGTGACCAACATTTAAAATCAACTTTTATATAACACGTTTCAATTGAAAATACCTTTACTAGAAGTTGTATCGAAGTTTCCAAATTTCATGATCAACCACATTTTTCCATGCACACACATCAAATATCGAATTATATTTTCATATATATACAGCAAGGGAGAAATAATCTCACCTTGGGGTTAAAAGATTCAGTCGAGCCGACGTAAGATCAACGTCCAGTAGAGGCTGATCCAAATTCTGAATCTGAATTTTGTACTTGAATAGATAATACTTTTCAAAAGATTCAAAATCTTCATCGGGGAACCTGCTTCTTGGATTCAAACTTGAACAGATCTCCGCAACATAGAAGTACTGCAAAATCAAAAAATAACAATTCTGAAGTAAAAAAAAAATCTTGATTATTCTTCACCTGCGGTTGATCCTGACTGCGATACCATGGCATGACAACGGAATCCACCCAAGCATCCGCGTCCATCACGAAGTTTTTTCTGTCATCTTCAGGGCGATGCTTTGGCCGTATTTCAAACACACCGTGGATCCGCTCAACAAAATTCCAATCTATGTTGCCGCCTAAAATAAAAATTGAGAAATTCAAATTTTATGGAAATTCGGCAACCGACTAACTAAAGTATGTATACCATAAAAACCTCAATCTTCTTGTGAATTTTAGGTTATTTCCTGCTCTCATCTTCAATGGGCAGACGAGTTGGTCGCTAAATCAAAAAGGTGAAGTTCACCACTTAAAAAGAGACAACGTTCAAAAATGGATTTTCCCAATGGTTTTGGCTTCAGGAGAAGGGATCAGAAAATGGCACAAACATACTAACACGAATTTTTCTTTCCAATTCCGAACATGTTGCTTATGGAGAATTTTCGATCGCTTAAAAATTAAGGTATTCCAATTTACAACATTCTAAAGGACGAAAGGGTGTGGACTCCAAATTTTCCTGTTGAAATAGAAAAACAAGAAGTGTCATCTGTCCGGATAGAAAGGAACAATTTCAAGAAGAAGGTTAGCCTAGCTTAGCTCCAGCAGGGTTCACACAAAAGTTTCGTACGATCAGTACAAAAACGTCGCGGTGATTCGTCATTACGTAATGATTAAATAAAAAATAATAATATTGTTGAGAGCCAATGAAAAACACGTCAACGGTGGATGCATATTCAATACATTCAGTTTGGCACCAATTGAAGCAAGAGGCGCTTTATCCACGAGTTAGCAACAATAAATTACTTTACATTAGGAAAATACACAGCAGTCGCAGGAAATATTCGCATGAACAAAGAAACAGAAAAAATGAAGCATGTCGCTACAAAAATCTCACTTCCACTGATGAGAGGAACGACGTAGAAGCCCATGTCTGCACAATGAGGTTCGAACATCATGGGATACTTCTCCAAACGTAGCACTTCCTTGAACGTGAACACATGGAAATGTGAAACTTTGGCGAGCTCTTCCTCAGTCAAACGCATGGTATCCGTAATGAGATGAACCTTCACTCCTACTTCACCAGAGCGAGTGAAAATAGGGAAACCACTTATCTAGAAAAAAACCCATATGATGCTCGTAAAAACCGATATCGCATTAAATTTCTAAAAATAGTTCATACATTTGGAATGGGGCGCGTTGTGAGAACACCAAACGTCTGCACGGCACTTTCGGGTGCATGGATTCTCCGCCCTCTCGTATTGTGCTCCTCGGGTATAGGACATGCCAGCTTTAAAGCCAATTTGTACAGCATCACAGCGTGAGATTTTTCCGGAGTACTGTCCTTGAAAACATCTGAAACCTGAAATACGACGACAACCATGTAGAACAAGCCAGGTTCCAGCAAGCTTAAATGTTTGATTACATTAATTTCGTCAACCAAACAAAAAAAAAACAGTTCTAGATCTTGTCCTAAGATGATGTCGCACAATCAATAGATATCATGGGCTTCCCAAAAAGCCAGGATACTGCGATACTGTAATTGAAAACGTTTACAGGACGTGAAGAAAACTCGAGGATACGATAAATGGCAGGATTTAAAGACGGAATTTTCTTTACACTTATTAAAATTTCCCTTGTCGAGTTTCAAAAAACGTTGTAAACTCGTTTTTCCTGAAACTTCAATATTTTAATAAGAAGGTAATGATAGAATATTCTGTTTTTCCTTGACTTTTAGCGGTGTGATATGGTTGTCAATGTTTGAAAAATTCGAGTTTTAATGTGTAACAAAAAAATCGATGATAATACGTTTTCATGTGTGAGCACCTATGTAAGAGTAGAGTAAATTAATCAGATGATGGATGAATTCCAACCACCCTGGAATATTAGCACAGCTTTCAGAATACCAGAAGAGTGCTAGAGTTGAATTTGGATTAACGCATTTCAAGCATGTCTTTTCCGTTGACCAGCAATGCCTCGCCACCAGCTTATATAGTACAGTATATACTGTACCACGAATAATCAGCTTCCATTTCAACGATACAATGGCATTTTCAAAATTGTGAGAGAAAACTCGATTTTCAACAGTTTATTTTGGAAAAAATCACCTTTTTATAATAATACTGCCGACGCTTCGTCGTCCCAGGTCGAGGGCGTTCCTCCTTGGGAAGGTCCCCGGCTTTATCCACTGTCGGACGCGAACTATCGCCAACTTCTTCGTCACTCGAGTCTATTTCAATATCCAGATCTCGAAACGCTTCCTTCCCAACAGGAACTAGACTCTCGTCCAGTTCGTTATGCTCGCGTAAAACCCGACACATGTTTTGAGCAGCTGCCATTTTGGCTAAACCTTCTGTGGGCATCACCGGTCCCTAAAAATATGTTACCAAGAAAAAATCAAATCATTAGTTTTGGAGTTACTTTCACATCAACGAACAAAAATAATTTATGGAATGTCAAGTGTACACTTCATAACTGCCCTCACCAAAAAATAACTTGAGCGCATTCCTAACACAACATTAAGTAACTGATCATCGATAAAAAAATTACAGTAATTGATAAAAAACGTAGCGACAGTTAAATGGAAACCTAGAAAAAGGAGGCTCGGACGTCGGGCCATCCATCGAAAAAATCAATTCTTCATAACACAATTCGAGTAAATGACTGAGCCACGACATTTGACAAGAGCTCTTTGAATTATAATTAATTTAGGTAATACTGCACATGGGTACTTATTTCTATTTGAAGCAAATCTCATCATTGTGATAGTCGACCATGATGTTATTAATGAATAAATATATTGTGTATCTTGTAACGTACCTCAACTTCTCCCTTGAATGGACAATTGATCGGAAGCCGCAGGGAACACTTGAAGCAGCTGTGCACCAAGCCATTGACTTGAATCTTCTCCAACCGCCACAGTGGCGTGAGTCTCGTAAACGTGTCACTCGGAAGCTTCGCACAGTAACGATTAACCAATGCGACCGCTTTTGACATGGGTAAGGTTTTTCGAGAGGGATCCCGGGATTCACGTTTTTTCAGTGAATGTACGTTCAGTTCTTCGCCAGGAATGTAAGGAGGGAATATGCTGTCAACCTTTTCCATGTTGACTTCGTTGTCGACAGGTGTCTCATGATAATAGCAACGGCCCAGAAGAATCTAACGCAACAATCAACCAAGAGGATTTTGGCTATGGTTAGAGTGCGGCATATACACAACAAATCCCACTCGAATAACTTAATTACATTTCGGTACATTTTCGGAGTGAAAAATATTTTGAACAAAAACTCTTCCGTTCGGTGGGCGGGACAGTTGAAAATTCAATTTTTGTAAATAACAAAAACGGATGATTCAAGCATAGCTGAGTGCAAGACGTCGCCACGTTTCGGCGAACGTAAAGAAATTATGATTTTTCCACGCGCCGTTTTTAACCCCCGGATACAAGATTTTACCAGATTAGCGAATAAGGCTGAAAAAAAAATGGAGGCAAAATTCGAAGTACTGTACTGCTTTCTTCTGCACTATGCTTGAAAAGTTAAACTTCCAGAGGTAAATCGTAAAATTATACAGTATTGTAATTTTGTAAAATGCTTCTAGAATATGCAGTATTCACTCACCTCTGACATCACACGGTATTTTGCGACTGCGTTCAGGTAGGACTCCAAGTCCCTTTTTATCACTAAGTGGACATAATTTGCATCCACATTTCGACAGCGTCCCATGGAATTCACATAGGACGGGAAATTAGAAGGCACATCGAACCGAACAACCAAATTCGCTCGTGGAATGTCCGCTCCTTCTTCAAGAACCGATGTTGAAACGAGTACGTTACACTCGTGCATTCGAAAGCGACGCAAAACTTCTTCCTGCTTCTTGTGATCTATTTCAGCTTCCCTTGACACAAAATCAACGGGTTCTCCACTCGTTTTCCCGGCAGTAAATAACGGCATCATCATCCAAAAATCTGGATGATGACAACTAAGTTCACGTAAGATGTGGAACAGCCCTTTCGCAATGCATTTTTTGTCCACAAAAACGAGGCAGGAGAGACAACGAGGATTTTCGGGATCGTAGAAAGACTTGATGCGGTCCATTTTTTCGGTAGTTTTCGAAGTTTTACCCACTCCTTCGACATCATGACGTTTGTGCTTCCGACGTTTTCGACGAGTGTGAAAATTCGAACGAGTATTTGGCTCTGCGCCTTCCGCTTCATCTTCACTACTTTTCACTTCCACAACATCCGTCACACGTCCTGAAGCTCCGAGAACTTGCAACCAATCAAGACACAGAAGCAGCTTATTCGATAACGGCACATTATTCGTTTTGAGCAAACGAGAAGAGAGAGATTGCAAAGATTTTGGTTGACGGGGCTTTTCGGTGGCGAATGTTTTCGCAAATTCAATGGAAATGCCGGTTCCACGCACGGGCTTCTCAATAGCAACTTTCATATCTTTAAAAATGTCTGAAGAGGCCTCAGCAGCTTCCGACAATTTGTACTGATGTAAGATTTCAATAAGCCTCCGGGTCCGAGGAGACGAAAAGCGAAAAACTCGCTCAACTGGACTGAAAGCTTTGAACGCGTCATCACAAATAGCTCGGATTTTAACGAGAATTGTAAAAACGACGCAGAGCAAGAGGTAGTGTCTTTCATGCGGAGTTTTCTTCTTGAGGGTCTCAGTTTCGATCATGAGATGAACTGCCATCGTGAATGCGGCCCAAGGGCCTAAGCAATCCAATATTTCTAGGAATTTGTACAGGATACTCAGCGGTTCTTTTCCTGGGTCCGGCATGTCCGGAAAATATTCCTTCAACATTTCTTCTCCGTAAATGGCACACGGGTTGTAAACGTGATTATCTATGAAGTCGATGGCTTCCCAAACCACCTTCCTTAAAGCTATGGACAGATCAGATTCCTGTGGTTCATCACATTCCACAATGATTTCTCGACATTTCGACGACAGCCTGAAAATGAGTGATACCACAAAAATAAATTAGGACGCTTTCCGACCAGACATGAGTGACCGTCAATGAAATTGTATTCCTGACTTCAAAGAATTATACGATGATGAGTAAAAGAGGTGTGGATTTTAAATCTCATTAAACCTTCAAAACATGATAATCCAAAAGAACAATACTTGAAGAATCTTCAATTACAGCATGCTCTCTGACCTCTAACGACCTGTTGCCTTTTGAAATGTTGAAATTGATTTTGCCACGTTTCATTTAATTCCAACCTGCCGAGGGCGTAATGAATTTCAAAATACAGTATTACATATGCTAATCCATATTTCGAAAAAATTTTTGGAAATATAAGTCAAAATAAAATGACAAATGGCCATTAGCAGCTTCAGTTACCCACTAGTTCGTGATTCACTCAACGGTCGGTCACGCTTCAGTAGTCTGACGCGCGCTGCAACACGACAGAATCTAAACAAGCGGAATTACCTCAATATGGAAGTAATTTCGGACGCAGCTTCAACACGACTACCAAGCTCCCGCTCCATGGTTAGTATGCAATCTTGAACTTGATACGGTTCCGCTTCCTTCCCCAATATGCTAGCAGTCAATCCTAGAAGTCGTACTGACGGAAAATGATGGCTTTCTACTGTGAATGACCGCAATGCTTTAGCCAAATCGCTGCCGTAAACGGCGTTGTGACAATCGTCCAGCACGAGCAGATTAACATCTTTCACGCTTAACCAACGATTCTTGAGGAGTTCGAGAAAAATATCGGTGAGTGTGACCAACACCTGAAAGAAACGATGGCATCAGTCAGATTTTCCTCTTCCACATGCTTAGAGTACCTGCCTGACTTGATTTCATTTTGTTAATGAAACCACTTTTAGAAGACCACCGCGAGGAAATGACGTCCGATGCTTGATTCCCTTCCATAAGGCACGACTCCACAGCCAAATTACACGTGCGATTAATGCAACGCATGAAATGCGTTACACCGCTATCATCCACGGCAAGGACGATCGTAAATTTCGGACATTCAGATTTGTCTCTGTAGGAAAAGAATAGGTTCATCACACACACACATTAATAATGTAAATCGAAACGACGATTTAAAGTAACATACCTGACTTGATGTCCCAGATCTCGAATGACGCTGGTGGCGATGAAAAACTTGGCAGTCGCTGAACCAAGACACACGATTATGTTACGCTGGATAGCGCAATTGACCAACTCCACTTGATATTCGCGTGGGGTGAATATATTTGAATGCAAACTGAGTAAGTAAACGACGGTCCTATAGGCGTAACCGTTTTGTAAAACGTACGCTTGGAGGGCGAAGGAGTAGGAGGGGTAGTACTTCGGCTTTACTTGTTATGATGTCGTTGTGAGTTAGTGTGTGAAGAAATCCTTGAAATGAAAGCGCGAGACGAAAAGAAATGACAGGTTAAATTACGTATAGCTCAGTCATCAAATGAGTTTTCAAGCTCAAAATCAACATTACGCGAGCATGTATCACCACGCGATCAATTGAATGGTGCGCATCAAAGGGACGCGAGTTGCATTAGCTGCCTAGCACAAGCATTACTACAATAAGGAAAATAGCATTAGCGAGCCACGATCATCCCCTCATCCTCGGGTACCTACCATGTCCGTACAGCCAACAAAAAGCCAAGCCATTATTTTACAGAAACCTAGATGTCGCTAGAATGACCTTCAGAAATTCTAGGTGTACAGTACCACTGTTCTACAGTACAGTATAACCTGCCATCAACTCAACAAATAAAGACCTCCAGAAATGTCACAATATTGATTTTTCGACCACTATATGAAGAGTACAACACTGTATTCAAAAGCTAGTGGACAAAACTAATTTAGATTTAAATACAAGCTCAACAAATTTCGTTTTTAGTAATTTGTGTGCCACAGTCAGTATATAATCCTCTGTACAGCATATACTGTACAGGAATACTTATTGTTTACACTTCTGTAATAGTGCATACAGTACTTCTCAATAATACTGTAGTACTGTACATAAATTGTATGTACAGGGTATGCCAACAAATAAACAAAGTTTGAATGAAAATATTTCAGCTCACTAACAAATTGAGCTGCAGAAACAAAACAAAAACCATATGAAATCTTAGTCATTTTTTTNACTTCTCAATAATACTGTAGTACATAAATTGTATGTACAGGGTATGCCAACAAATAAACAAAGTTTGAATGAAAATATTTCAGCTCACTAACAAATTGAGCTGCAGAAACAAAACAAAAACCATATGAAATCTTAGTCATTTTTTTCAAATGATACAGTCAAACCTCTCCAAAACAAATATCAAGGGATCATCAAATAATTTTGTCTTAGGGAGATTTTTACCTTAGGAATGTTTTGAATTATAAAGGTTTAAGCTACAATACAAAGCCCCTTTTCTGGAAAACTTCGAAAAATTGCCCACATTTGTAAATGATGGTATTCTGGGGCTTAAATGAGTTTAAAAGATGCTTGATGGCAGGGGTTCATTTTTGTCCAAGTAAGTCTTTTGCTTCCTTTCACGCATCAATTTTTGTCATTTCTTTTTTTTGTGGGCCAAGAAAATGATGGCCAAAAGACCACAGAAAATTTGACTTAGGAAGGTTTGAGGAGAAATGCCTTTGACTCAGGGAGGTTTTTAATGTATTGTTTACATAGAGATACAGATGGGGACCTGAAAAAATTGACTTAAGGGGGTTTGAGTTATTCAGGTTCACCTGTGCATGATTACAAGTGCCACAGAATGGTCACAATGACAGCCATTTCAATAAAACCTTTCTTAACAGGGAACATGATGAAGTCTACCAAGAATGTCTTTTCATACGTAGTTTAAGTTGTTTGGTAGACTCTTTTACTACCGGTTTTAGTTGAGTTGAGTTCAAAACCGGTTGAGTTCAAGTACCATGTTGGGTCATCTCTCTTACATTCACTGCTTTTTTCAAAATCAAAATACTGTATAGCACAATATATCCTATGGGTTGACTTGAAAACCATAGCACTATTCTAGGTGGAAATTTAGGGTATCACAAAAAATACAGCAGAATCTCATTACAACAAATCTTTCAATGAAGAATAATTACAAGGCATATTTTATCTACCTGCCCAACCTTCAGAATGTTGAATTGAATTCCTTCAAAAATGTTTACAACTCTATTGTATGCTCTTAATGTCTTTCTGATACAGTAATACAATTTTACTGTATATATCACAATTGGCTCCATAAAATGTAAAAAAAAAAGAACTCAACTACGGAAAATGATTTCAGTGACTAAAGAGGGAAATTGTCCCAAGTCTTCAATGCAATAAAATCAATGAAGAAAAGTGAGAACTCTCAACCCAAAGCGTTCGCTTTATTAACCCAACTGAATAACCTTCCTTGCGCTTTTCATTGCCATATCCTTCCTTCCGTAAGGCATAATAATTCTCCTGGGATGAATTTCATCCTGTTGTTCTACCCCTCCAAGACCACAAACCGACGCAGAAAGACAAAAAAGCATTGACGTCTTTATCACGTAACAGTACAGAAGTCGAGAAAAACAATAATCGTCGTCCTCCGCATCGACGGGAATAGAAACTACTTCAAACGTAACCATTTTGATGCCTGCTTGAAACGCCGTTTAAGAAAAATCAAAACATTTTCCCCTGAGTGAGTCGGATCACCTTCCCTTCATCATTGGAAATATTTCAAACGCACAATGTGCTGGATCCAGACACGCAATTTCAATCACGCAGATTTTCTTTTTCATCTATTTTGCATGCATATGACCATCAATAAGCTTTCCTTCTTCAGCCGTAAGGGGTAGAATAGCAGTAGAAAAACATATTCTGTACTTGAAACTGAGTTAGCTATGAATTTCCAAAAAAAAAGTAACACTATAAATAATATTCCGAATTTTTGAGCTGTCCCACATAATCAGTCCACACTCAGAACACATTGAATTCAACAAAACAGCAGCCGAAGTCCACGCGACTGGCTTGGAATCTTCAGGATTTCAGGTGTGGTGGATTCCCGTGCTTAAGAAATCGTAAAACTTCGCGAGGATGATGATCACAAAACCACATCTTTAGAAACTTTCTTGTGGAGACTGAACCTCACCACATCCGCTATCGGTAATATATCAAGTTCAATTTCGTTAATCATCCGTGAAAATTCAAGAGCACGGAGAAATCAAAGCAAAACATTTCTGGAATGTGATTTTCTTCACTCCTCAATAAGACATAAATTGATAAGATTTTCCGGCAAGATAAGTTTAACCGAAGTCATCTTATCTCCCCGACTAAGAGACCGCAATTTTCGGTCTGAGGCAGATGTTCCAGATCTTATGTCACACCTGAAATCCTGACAATATAAAAAAACAACGAGTATAAAATGACAAGAGACATTCTCCAGGTACCAGAAACAAAATTTTCAAGCACAGATTTTTCTGTCTGCAGAATTGATTTCCGGAAAAAGGTAAGAGCCAAGCATTTCTTGTAGATTTCTCAAACCAACTAAAAATATTTTTACCCAAGGTATAGTCGCGAGGAAAAACTGTATTCGAACTCAAAATGAGGCATCATACATTCATTCAACGCCGATCGCAAGCACAGCGACATTTGTACTACGAAAGTCAGCGAGGGGGAGAAACCAGGCACGCAAATATTTTATGGCAGCAGAGGTTCCCAAACTCGATTTCTGATACCATTGCACTCCTAACAAATCGTTACTACGTGAAAAACAAAGACTTCACAACTTCACTAGCCCGCTTGTCTTTTTGTCCCCGAAAATCTGCTGACGCGCGCATATCGAAAAATTACCACCAAGAAGCGACTCATGGAAAACTGTTTCAAATAGAGAATAAAAATAACAACCCTCAGATTCTCCTCGGCAGAATCGGAAGTAAACCCACATCGAAGGATCGAATTATCACAGAACCGAGAATCTAGTCCGAAGCAGAGAAAAAGATACAGAACAGAATAGGTAGTAAGAAATCAAGCGGAAGTAGGACTCACTCGTACTTGGAAATTACACATGGAAATTTTGGGGAAAACGCCTAAAAGGAAGCTTCGCCGTTACGTCCCTGTCGAGGGATTATCTGGAACCGGTTTGAATCTCGCCAGCTTGGAAATCAAGAATTGCGCCACTCGTTTCTCGATCCCCAAGAGACCGAAATCTTCTTCACTCCAGCACGCGAATGCAGTGGCAGACCATGATTGATACTGAGGTCGATTCTCAAAATAATTCAACCAGAAGTCTCCCATTCCTAGGCTTTCCATGAATCTGATGGAAAATATGATTTTGTCAATAAACTCAGACGGTGCATCATGGAAAAATTATTCAATTAAAACTGAGTTCTAATCGAGCTGTAGCCTTCATACACAGTAGTACGTATGCAACGAAGTGTGAGTTATCAGATTTAAAATAGAGAATGAAGGCCGCAGGATTTTGGACAGACCTAGAGCTTGACTTTCCACATTTTCCCAGAGATTTGAATTATCAATTATAACTCAAATCACAATTTTACAAGTATTGATTCGTAAAACTTGAATAACACGTATATAATCCGGTTCTCGGATCGCTTCTTTCATGAAGTTTGCATCAGTTTCCTTTTGGACTAATAGCAGCCTGTTTCCGCATGTACCAAGAACAATACAGTATTTAACAACGTACGATTTCATGGTGGGTTGGCAGCTATCCGGAAAATCTCCTTTTTGAGTTTTATTTCCAGGACCCGTCCCCGGTGACCCAACTTCTATGCAGACGGAATGAGATGGCCTTTGATGTTGTTGCTGCTGCTGCGGCTTCACCTGCACCGGTACCTGCTTCAATCGCGCAATGTACAATGGAAGCGGCGGAGAAGGTCTTCCGCTAAGATGTGGCGTCTTCACCTCCGTTCTTTTCGCTTCAGTCTGCACCTGACACGACTTGATAAGTGAAAAAATCCATTAAAATCTTGAAATAATTCGATCAGAATTGTTCCACGAATACCTACGAGGGCAAGAAAGCACAATGATGCGGTACAGTACATCATAATTACTGTATAGCCTTATCATAAGCACAGAAAATTTCGCGTAAACTCAGAGGAATTCTTGACGCAAGACGTTTTCGGATACTAATTGGATTTCTTATTTTCCGGACTTCGATTGCCTCTTTCTGGAATACGTTACTTCCTAAAGTTAAGGTGAAGCAAAAAAAGAAAAAAAAAGAAGCTGCATTGTGAAAATTCAGATGTAGCACGATCAAAAACGTAATTACAAGCACAATTAGTCTCATAGTGAAAAAATTTCAGCCTATTTTTGCAGCTACACCCTAACTATTACATTTTAATTTAAAAAATTATATACAGTATTTCTCTTTTTTCGATAACTGTAACCAAGAACTTCGAAATTCTTTTTCAACAGATTTTGAATAGAAGTTAAAATTGCAAATAAACACGGGAAAAAAGACTCGGTGACACAGGCAATGCTTGTAGATGGCGAACTGCTGAACTGAAAAATTCTCTAAAATTCGTGCAGCTCTGCGGTGAGAGATCCCTTTCTTTATATATTTTGCTAAAAAAAAAAGAATAAAGAAACCGCCTCAATCTTCAAAAGAAAATGTTATGCATTGATTTTACGGAGAAAATACCGATTCGTTCAAACTGGGCTTCATTTACAGGCGGTTCAGGATTTCACACAACTGAAAGCACACCTTCATTGTGGGAGCATGAAGAATCCGTTCCCTATACTTCACGTCAGTAGCTGACATGGAAGAAGCACGCAGACGAATTCCCTTCAACTCCGGCGACGTGCACCGTGAATTATCTGACCCAGAAGAATCCCTCGCTAACCTGTCCGCTTGTTCGGCAAGAATGTATAGTCCGTCAGACCCGGACAATTTCCCCTCTTCTGACGTCGTCGACGACGAGTTTACGTTATTCTTGACTTCGCCACTCTTCCCTTCGTCAGGGCGCCGACACACTTGTTTCATGGGTGTCTGACCCGATTGCGTTACCCTAGGATTCGTCAACATGGACGCGCAATGCGACATGGAGCGTTTCAGTTTGTTCCGCTCAGCTTCCACAGCCTTTGATGCAGCAAGGAGGTTGTTGTGAGGATGAGGGGGCGGAAAAGATTGTTGAGCTTCCGAGTCGGGCGAAACACAGCCTGACGCTGGGTTCGAGGATGGCGTGCTAGAACAAACGTTAGCTGCTCGTTTGCAAGCCAAGTCCTTCTCAGGGAACTCGTCCATTAGCCTGCAATAAAAGAACGAAATTACAATGAATCGTCAACAATACACAATGGGAATCAGCAACTGTCAACGACTAATTCGATATACAGTACTGTGCGTCGGTTCAAGAGAATTGGACACGTGCAGGTCGGACCGAAAGAGCCATTACTCAGTTTTCAACGACAGTACAATAATTCTTAACGATACACAAAGAGAATAAACTATAGACGACTTACTTAATATACTGTGAGCCGGTGCAAGAGAATGGTTATTTTTGGAGCATTGAATTACACAGATAAGTGCAGGCGGGACTGAGAAAGCTACTCCTCAGTTTTTTTTCTCATCACTAAATATAACAGGATCAACCTCAAATTCCATCGAGGTTTTTCAATGTGCTCGTTTGAAGTCAGATATTTCTTTCACTCGAATTCGTGAGAAATATTATGATCAAGTGTGATGATAAAAACCCCACTTTCTGAAAAATTGATAAACGAAGTTCCCTGCTTGACCTGCAGAATGAAAGTACAGTATTAGCACAACATTACGAACAAATTTTACACGGTATTCGATCCGCAATGTACATGAACAAAGCTCCACAACCGACTTGATGAGGTCTCTCTCGCTAAACTAACTGCAAATGCTGTCAGTCATTATTGATAAAAAAATTATTGAAGTACTTACCTCTCGTTATCCCCAAACATTGATCCTATTTCATCAATCAAATTGGGGTACATCTCCGAGGCGTGTTGCTTGACTTCAAGGGCAAACGCAATTTCTTTGAGAAGCAAATAATTCGCATAACAACGTACCTATTCAAAAAAAAATATTCAAGAGAGAGTAAGCTAATTCAACATGTTGAATACTCACCTTAATGATATAAACATTATCATCATAACAATTTTCGATTTTCGGTTTCGCTTTCGGGCACAAAAAATCCCTCTGTCCCACAGGGTTCAGACTTGGGTTGGAATTGACGGAACCGCTTCGTTTTCGAGAAAGCGGTAGTAAATGATGAGGCCCGGTTGGAATACCTATCACTAGATCTCCTGTCGTATTCATTTCGAATTTCCTTTCTTCGACTTTCCGGTCCCGCGATGGACATGCACAGATGCGAACTCCAATACATTGTCTGCCGACAACCTCTCCGCTGGAATATTTACATTATTAACACAAGCTCAAAGAATAAAAAAAAGAGGTAATTTCAAAGATTCAAACAATCTAAAAAAGAATACAACGCGTCCAGGAAAGGAACGGAAACTTCCATCCTTCCCCACGTAAGCAAAACGATCCATGGAAATCTCTTCATAATTTACAGTAAACTTAAGTCAACCTGAACGACAGTTCCCGTGCTCACAAAACATAGAACACTCGAATTACAGTTCAAATTTCAAGACAAATGATACGGTGTCACTGGCAGGTTCTCCACGAAAGCGGTGAAGAAAAGATTGATTTCAAACTTCAAACTGAAGATTTACAGTTGTCGTTCCATGAACGACGTTTTTCCAGAACTATTGTACTACTGTATACTGTACATGAACTTACGAAGCAGTTTCCAGAGTAAAAATAACTTGCAAAGCCCGACGATTGATTCCGCCAACGCAAGATCCAAGGCACATGAACTTGAATAGAAGTGTAGTCCAATTTGCACCGGGTTCAGGACGCCCAAGCGGGAGTTTCACAGATAGCCTTTTACTTTCAGGGTCTTCTTCATAAACCGCGGAACCACACTCAGCACGGATAAGATGCTGTCTCCAATGTTCAGGTACATCTTCAAAAGCGATTTTGTTGAACGAACATGCTCTAGCCAACCTTAAGAACCCATTACCGATGTTCGTGGCGTCTTCCAATGATGCATGATTTGGGCACCTTTTGACGACTCGTAGGACATTTGTAGCAGTAGTATAAAGAGGTAATGCACGGACGAACAACTGCTCGTTCAAATAATTTGTTGCTTTTACGTCGAAGGGACATGGCTTGTTCATCTCAACGAATAATTTCTGCAGCTCCTCAGACCACTTCGAACAGAATGCAAGATTGAAGACACATTTCACGGTGTAAATATGGCGTGATGAGAGCTTACCAACCAAGAATGGATTTTTCCATTCTGAGTACCCTTTTCTTTAAAGGAAATGGTGAAGTTGTGCTTGCCTGGCCAATCTTCTGTAGAAGGAGCTGAAACACTAGAAGATTGAGACCCTGCTCCGACACCAGCGGGATCAATTTTTCCTTGTTCTGCCAGTTCCCGTGATTCTGAAAAATATCGTCGAGTCAATGCTACTTGAATTGATCACAAAATAAAATCAGGTCTCACCAAAGGAATTACACGCCTCAGATTTAGGAATGAAGTTGGCGAGATTGTGACGATTTTCCATTACTTGCGTCTTCATGGTGAACGTAACGTAACAGAAGTTACGCTTGGATAAAGGAATTACAGTCAATCCGGGAAAGGCAAGTAAGGGAATATATCCCGCTTAGATGGGATACGATGATAACATCGGTCTGCAAACAAAGTTGAAGCAACATTTTCAGGAATGAAAATGAGAATTAACTAATTCGAGCCCGATGAACCCAAGTACTGGTTCTTCACGAAGGCCTTTCCTGAATGAGCTGTATCACTCCTAAACGCGGTTGACTTCAATCGCCTGACGACAGGTTTCGACTCGTTACCGGCATTTCACCAAAATGAATGAGAAACACAGACGAAACCCGACCTGGACTCGATTTCAACGTCAAACCCATCAAGTGCATTTTTGCAAAACTTGATCCACGAATACCTTCGTGGATTCACGGATCGAGCGAGCAAATGAGACTACCTGCGCCAATTGTGAGGTAACATGGAATGGTACGGTATCTCCATGTTCAAAACGCACACAAACGTAGGAATTTTACTTTATCCGAACGAATACTCTTGAGAGAGGCTTCTTCAATTCTCAAGATTCCCGACCTCTATCCCGCCTGAACAACGGCAATGAGAATTTGTCACCAACACATGTTGAACAGCAACCGCCCCAACTACGCAGTTAGTAATGCAGGCTTTCGTTCATTCATGAGCGTCGGGTACGGTAAAATGTACAATAGGCTACAACTTTCCATGGATGCCCCTTGCGCATCCGACTGAATGTACAGTACTGCTGTACAATGAAACAGTTCCACAGTTCATTCTGGGACTCAATTCGCAATGAGCAACATGTATCTGCCAATGAGCGCATATTGTTTACATTTCATCGCGAAAAAATGTGGACTGTCCACACCACTTTTTGTGATAAGTAGGAGATGAATAAGATGATCGGCATAACCACGAATCCCGAGATTGCGCAACATAGCCAGGAACCGGATTTTCAAGTATACATTACACATTCCCTCTGCCTTTCGCATCCATGAAATACTGTATATCCGCGACACTGTACTTATTGTACCAGGTACAAATCCACATTCCTGCAGTTAAAATGCCCAAGTGTATGAATGCAGTACCCTGCAAAACCGTGGAATCGATCCAGTCCAGTTATTGTCATTTGTCCCGGGATAAGTGTATAGTAGCGGTCAGCCATATTTGTAAGGCATGATTTCTGCGTTGAACATGGATAAATTTGCGTGTGATTATCGTAAGAACTTCGCTGCTGAGTCGGCGGGAAATCCATCAGTCGAATGGGATATGATGTACCTGCATGGCTTCCGGAAAATGGCACGCGTGCGCCCCGTTGTGAATATCCGCACCCCATCGCAATTGATACGAATCAGGAATGCCATTGACTATGGTTTTAAATGTGCAGTATCGGATTCAGACAGGCATGCAGATCTATCAGCAAATCTACCTCAGGCAGTGCATTCCACCACCGAAAGCGGCGAACAGCAGACCAATTACCTTTCGGTAAGAGCTAGATTAACGATGCAAAGATCTGGAAGGGTCTCCCGAACAACTGTCATGGCTACCTTCCTGGTAAGTGGCGGGTGAAGGGAGGAAATTTTTGGACCTAGCTGTGAGTGTGAGTGAAACTTCGGATGCATTGGAATGTTCGTTGATTTGTGAACTGTCCGCAGCGATTGACTCTTCATTGAAGATCGTCTAAGAAGTCTCCTGCTTAATATCAATTTTATCATCGTGTGGATTGTTTCTTTTCGAAGGATTATGACTGTGCCAGAATTTCCCACGGCTGCTCGTCGGCGTAGGGAACCTGAGCCCAGTCATTCCAGCTGGAGAACTCGACCAAGACACGGCGAAGTTTTCGCCGACGAAGTTGCCCAGGAAGGCGAATTTCTTGTGAGTAATTTTGTGCTCTCTGAGCTGCGATCGCGGGATCTGGCTCAACTGTGTCCCCGTGATGAACAAGCTGCGGCACGTAGGCCAGCGGGGTGGGCGCGAGATGACAATGACTTGCGTGTTATAGCAATGCAATACGCGGAATCTCGCGAACGGCGCCACGCTCGGGCGATTGCCGAAGGTGTAGCGATCGAATCTTTAACGCCGACGAGATTCCAGTCAATGTGCGACGAGCTTTTTGCTCCCCCAGCTGGTATCACCCGAGAACGAATCATCGTTCTGTTTTTCTTCATGGCGGATCTAGCTGCTCTTGCTGTCGGTCAACGGTTTTACACTATTTACTCCAGCCTGATGAACTGGAGCGCCAATTATGTCCGTTACCGTGTCTGTGGATGGGTGTATGAACGTGGAGGCTGGGTGAGAATACTTTTTTCGATCTCAAATCTTGTTTCGTGAAATGGATTACCTAGCTTATTCCTCATCTGGTTCTCATCCCCCATTCTTAATTGCTTTTTAGGATCGTGTTCTCAATCGTTCAAGTAATCTGGTCCTCAAGTGGTGTGGGATCGTGACGCTTTGCTTGGTGTCAGCTGCAGCTTGGGTGTACGTCAAAAAGAGAGCTTGAGTTTGTCCAAAGCTTCCGTTTGTGTACAAAGTTGTTCGATTGTTTTAATCGATTCATTCACCAACAGTATTTTTTTAACTCGTCTGATTTGCACCGTTTGTTCAGCCTTTGTTTTCTGAGTGGTTATTATAACGATGTCCGAAGAAACCTGTGCGTACGCATTTTTTACGAATGTTCCTAAGCTGTATTCACATTATTTTATGGATGCCTATTCCAGAATTCGTAAAATTTTGTTGCTCTCAAGATGAATATACGGCTTGCCAAGGTGAGCGAACGTCGAAATCGTTCGTTGAAATTTTTAATTTTAAAGGTTTATGATTTTTCAGCCAAATGATTTAATCAACATGCAGCACTGTAACTTGCTCTGCTTGCCGGAGAACTATCAAATGAAGTACTACTTCTACCATGGTCTTTCATGGCCGCAACTGAGCTTTGTCGCGGAGGATGAAGCTGGAAGAATTGTTGGTTATGTCTTGGCCAAGATGGACGAAGATTCGGACGATGATCCGCACGGTCACATTACTTCACTGGCTGTAAAGCGCTCTCATAGGAGACTGGGTTTAGCTCAAAAACTCATGGATCAGACAGCTCGTGTAATGATCGAAAGCTTCAACGCGAAGTATGTTTCACTCCATGTTCGCAGAACAAATCGTGCTGCTTTGAGTCTGTATTCGAACATGTTGAAATTCACGTGAGTACTCCAGTTTGACTGCAAGATGGACTGTTGGTGCTGTTCTGAAATGCGATCCACTGAAGAGTGTTGTGATGGGTGATATACGCGAAAAACAGCTTTGTCCTGGAAAATAGTTTTCTCCCACGTAACAAAAGTTCATATTTTCTCGATGTTCTGCTGAAACGTTGAACTCAATGAATAAATAGACTAAGTAGGAATCTATACTTATGTTTCTTCCAAATTTGATGAATGGGAAGGAAATGTTGGACTTTTGGTTGATGCAATATATCCTGATTGTTCGAGCTTTGACAACGGATTGGATGCATGCGTCAAATGCCCTCTAAATGAAGTTTAGCTCTTAACAGAACAGAAGAACGATGTACATTTTGAGTTATGGTTTCCTCCACCACGCAACCATTCAAATTGTGTACGAATTGGACAAATGAAAATCATTTTTCCAGTGGCAGATATCATGCCAGAACGTGATCTCATACTTGGTGTATTGCAGTTCACTGGTGGATCGCTTGACAGAAAAGTGCCTGTTAATTCGATTGCTCCATTTAATGACTTTTTGTTGCTCGTACTGTGTGTTATTTTTGGTGTGTTTGCATGGGGCAAATTTACTTACCTATAAAATATTGAAGAAAAACTGAAAGCTTCTTTGGTTCCATGATAGAATTCTTGAGGTTGAGCCCAAATACTATGCCGACGGAGAAGATGCATTTGCGATGAAGCGAGATTTGGTGTCTTTCGCGCAGCAGCATAATATTGTACCAGCCGAGCCATCAACCTTCTTTTTGATGAAAGGCGATGATAAACGGAAGAACAAAGACGAAGCCACCCCTGCAGCAGTTGATTGATTTGATCATTTTTCGTTCATGTTATTTGCTTGATTCTGCAATAAATCAATATAAAAAAAATTTGTCGGAGGCTTTTTCTGTGTTGTCTTCGCGTTTAATTGATCGGAGTGAAATTTGCACGTGGATTATAGTTGAACGCCAACATTTTGCTACTCATTTTAGAAGAATAATTGTGATTTTAACATTTCAGAAAAATGATCTTTTAAACTCGTATAGTAATTTACCGGTGTGTAAATATTAACTCCCGAGTTCCAGTTACTGAGCTTTGAAAATGGTTTGATCATTTCAAAACCTTGTGGGAAAGTAATATTAAGTCATGAAATCGAGGAACGAGATTTGCGAGCTTTGTTGTTTTGAACAACTCAAATTAAATTCCCAGAGATTTTCAAGATCTGATCTATTTTTGTGCCTAGTTCGAGCAGACTTGAACAAATTTTACGTCGGGAGAGAGCCGTATAAATTTAACCTCTTTTATTTTTGAAATACCATCGAATTCAAATTATTGAAGAATTTCCTACACATTTAACGGGTGTATGAAATCTGGGTTTGGAAAGACCATTATCGAGCCAAATGTTATGCTTCTCACTTTTCACGCACCTTTGGAAGAATGATTTCAGTAAATCGGAAATGCTGCACTGATATTGAAATTGATGCTTGGTTTTTTGGAATTTGTATTGAAATAGATGACTGAATTGTGGCATGCTTGTTGTAAAGGTTGCCCTGAACCTCGGAACATCCGTGCGACGTGACATGAAACTTCCATGCGTGTCGAATTTTCTATGAATGTATTCATGAATGCATCCTGAGCTCGATAAGAGATTCTGGTCGCATTGAGGCATCGCAAGTCTTCGTCGTGTTACGTGGAGAATTTTGTTTTTCATTATATCATGAATCTTTCATTTTTTCTTTTTATTCGCTTGCCTGCTGTGTTCTGTGAATGATGCGATCGGGATTCAGTTTTGCTGAGTGAAGTCTTCAGAAGGAGCGGGACAAATCCGCTGAAAATCCTGACGAGTGTAAAATAAAGCGAAAGTTGCAAAGTAAGATGAAGCTCCTGGTCAAGTCCATCAAGCAGCTTGTTCAAGTGTGCGGTAAGGGTGAAACATTTCTGGCTGGTTCCCACGCAGGATCTAGCTTCAAGGTGCTAGACGAGCTGCCATCTTACGCCATTGCGATTGACGAGTAAGTGAGACCTGGAACTTATCTAAGCGTTTTCTTGCTCATAGGGTGAATCAAGCACACTCAAAAAAAAATAAATGCATTTTCTAATGTTTTTAAACATTTAGAGCAAAACATACGAGGTTCTTTCTTTTTTTACGGACGTCTATGTCATAAATAAGTTCACGGTGTACGGGAGGTAATTCTAGACGTCGTCACACTTTTTAGTCCAAATTTTCTTGAAATGCATTTTCCCAAGTAAGATGTTCATGCAATTTTTATTAACTTTAAAACTTGAATATTTCAAAAATAAGAACACCCAAATTTAGATTTAGACATGAAATTTTAAAAATTTTCCATTTGTTTCCTTTACAGTAAATCTTGATAAAAATCGGTTCCATTCTTCACATTAATATGCTGTACAGTGCTGTAGAATGTTCACCTAAAATTCAAAAACATTTTGGCAAATTTATTCCTGCCCATGATCTGCACCCTCTTCACTCTCAATTTTGAGAACATGTGGTACTGAAGTAATTACAGCACTGTCTATGAAGCACATTTATTGATTTTTTAGTTAGATGTGTTATTTGATGGCATGTATGAGTCAACCTTAACTTTACGCCCAATTTTATTTCATTGATTTAATTTTCAAAATGCAATTGGGTCTTGTTAACACAAATTGTCAGATTTTTGTCAATTCCCTCACAAACATGATGATTTATAGATCCAACTCAAAGCATTTTCCTCTGAAACCTCTGTAAATTGAATTTCTATAATCTAGAGGAGTTGGGCAAATATCTTCAGGCCCAGAAATGAGGCAATAAAAATGAAACTTGATGCTGTCCAAAAAGAAGTGAGTGACTTATTGAGCAAATATAGCCTTGTTTCCAAGTTCAGCATCCTTTCAACTCATTTATACAGCTGTTTGAGGCCCAAAAGATAAACCAAATTTCCTTCATGTAATTTTTTCAACATACTCTAATTTATAAAAAAAATAGTGCTATTCACCATGAATGAAAATCAATCCAAATCAATTTTTAGTTTCTCTTCAGATGTCTGAGTAAGGTCCAACTGTAGTTCTGATGTAGCAAAGAAACAAACAAAAAGTTATTTGCAACTAACTTTATGGAACAGTGAGGTCTCGAGAAAACAGCAGATATGGCTAAATTGTTATGAGAAGCTATGGATTCCATACTGGAATATGTATGTACATGTAGACTCTCTCTACGAGAAAATCAAAGGGAAAAGACCATTTTTTAGAACCCCTATGTCATGGAGAGAACCCTGTGGCTGTGGGACCAAAAAAATTAATAGACGTGAACAGAAAAAATCATCATATTCAAGACCATTCATCGTAGAAAGAGTTGTGTACCTGAAACAAATTATATATCTCTAAGAAATTTCGATGAGGTTCTTGACGTGGGTGGAAAGTGTGTCGTGCCTGGCTTAATAGACGGACACACTCATCCCGTTTGGTCTGGTGACAGAGTTCACGAGTTTGCCATGAAGGTTACATGCCCGTTTCAGTCTTCAGGATATATATTTTTTTACAGGGTCTTTCGGGGAGTGTAGAGTCGAAAGTTGGAACATAATTGTTATTCTCGCCGTTCCCTTCATCGAAATGAATAATAATATCTATATCTCTCCTTTTCGTATTAAAGCTTTGAGTAATTCTTGTTGAAACTTCACCTGGAGTGCTGACGCTGTATTTGAATCTGATGCAAACATAAACCCACATCCAAATCATGGAGTTGGAATGGTTGAACCTCATATATCTGACTGAAATGAAGGTTTTAGTTTCTGGAGGTGTACTTCGTTAAGACAGGAAGCGTAAAGGACTTCTTTTCAAATTTTAATGTAATATATCGAAGGATTGAGTGTCTGAAAGGGGACGTTTGGAGATGTTAATTTTATTATGGATGCCTCCAGGCTAATATTATTCTGGAAATTTGACAGAAAAGCTGCTGTAAAAATAAAACTTCATGCTTTTCAGAAGGAAGTGAGTCTTTGAAATTGAGCAATTTTAACCTTGCTGCCGCAAAGTTCAGCATCCTGAAAACTCATTTACCCTGTCATTTATGAAGCTTATATACTGTACATAGGTAACTGCATTTTACCTGCTTTGTAATACTTCATTTTGCCCCCAGCAAAAATACTTGTTTCCCTAATTGAAACATATTTCTAAGGTGAATATTTGTGTGTTTATCATCCATCTGAATATAGTTTGACTTGGAGAAACTATAATAATACAGTATGTTACTTTCTGTATGACTCATCAGCGTCAGTAATGTTATGCGTCATGCTGCGTTTTCTGTAATGTGTGAGGCTTGTTATTTGGTTTGTAATTATGCTGGTTTTACCGTTGTCTTGGGTAAGGTTCTGGTTGGTTAATTATTATTGTATTAGGTATACAAGGTTGAGTGAGTTCTGACTCATTACATGATGTATTCGTGTTTTCTGCATTTATGCCTCATACAGTCAAACCCTGATGAGATGCCACTATTTGCCCAAAGCGATTTTGGCAGTTTAGTGGGGTTGCCAGTTCATTGAATATTTCATTTTAAATTATGTGATCAAAAATACTTGATTTTCCTTTAAAAGTGATAGAGATAAAGGTTTTCTAGAAACTTCATTAATTTTCCAAAGAGTATTTTCTTGATCATTGGATTATTCTTTCAGGAAATTAATTTTCCTGCATCAATTTATTCAATTTTCAAGATAAGGTCAATATATTGTCCAATTAAAAAATACCATTATTATTTTTTTATTCTTACAAAAACAAGATCCTTGACAGAAATTATAACTCTACCTAAACGTTAGCTTTGTGAGGAAGACAAAACTATACACAGTAGTAGGAAACAGCAGCACTTTTGTTTCATTACTAATGCTGGCAGTTTGCGTCTTATCAAGGTTTTCTATGGCATTTAACATGGAGGAGATTTGTTTCATTCAAAATAAGTTGGCATTTGCCAATGGTGGCGCTTTGTTGATGGGCGTCTTAACGGGGGTTGACTGTAGTTAGCGGTTGCTTAATGTCAGGTCTCATTAATTTTAGGTTGTTCACTTATTTTCGCGGTGGAAATTTCAAGTCAATTTTGAGCTGTAATAATTGTTGAAGCATAGTGTGGAGTAGAAGTACTGTATAATGCGTACTTCATATTGAGTGGGGCAGCTTTAATGACGCCAAGCTTCGAATATTTTTGAAATGACGATGGTCCTTTTTCTTATATACAGTACTATTTTTGTTATTTCCCATCCTAGTTGGCTGGTGCGACTTACCTGGAAATCCATCAGGCCGGAGGTGGCATCAATTTTACCGTGGCCAAGACGAAAGAAGCCGAAGAGCAGTTGCTTTTGGATTTGTTTCTCAATAGGGTCAGTCGAATGATGCGAAGCGGAACAACGCTGGTGGAATGCAAAAGTGGTTATGGTTTGGAATGGGAAACCGAGTTCAAAATGTTGCGTGTTCTAGAAGCTGCGAAAGCTTTGACTCCCGTGAAAATATCATCTACGTACTGTGCTGCTCATTCTGTCCCTCAGTGAGTTTCTTTGACGAAATGGAGAAATAAGTTTTAAGGATTCAATTGTATAATCATGAACATGACTATATATTCTCCCGGTAGTGATATACAGTAATAACTTTCTTCGAATTGAAGTAGAATGTTGTTGGCTCGCAAATAATTTTCTTCAGTAAAAAGGATGAGTACATGCAGTAATTGCCGATCCGTTTCAGATACCGAAAATCCCCTAAACTAAACCGTGAGAATTAAATACTAGGAATAAAGTGCATGAGATTCCTAATTTATTCCAGAGATAAGCATCATTTGCATTTCTCTTTCACATTCAAGGTTTACGAAATTCAGTAAGTGCGTATAGATGTTCTACATAAAAATATATAATAATTGCTACGAAATCCTCGTAATTCATAGAAAAATTTCTCAATTAGCACAGTCATGCTGGGTATCAAAAAAAGCTTTCATCCGCTTAAAAAATTATGTTTGCATAGCCCAGAGCCAAATTTCCAGTAAAAGTTTGATTTTTCGTGCTACATTATGTATTTTTTTGCCCTGAGTATGAAAAAAAAACCCTGATATTTGAAGGTTTTTCATTCAAAATCGTGTTCGAGCCCCACTATAATCGTATATATATTTATTCCATTGCTGCTCATCTCTTCTTTACGATTGGGAAATACTGTATATGCCTAGGGAATCCGCACGCTATATACGGACATTTTCCCCTCGTATTCGCAAGAAAAATTAGGATTTCACGTACTGTATATTGATTGATTTACGGTACTCGTATTTTCTCTGAGAATGTTATTGTTGCTTCTTGAGTCGCGTTCTCTAAATTCAAGCGTCCGTAATTCATCCTGATACATATAATGCTTGATATTATTCCACGCCCATACGAACGTTATGTATCTTCTCGAGGGGGAAGACGCCGGAAGAAGCTGCGGATGATATCGTGATGAAACAAATACCCGCGCTGCAGTCTGAGATGCAAGCAGGACGTCTGGGTGTCGACTCCATCGACGTGTTTTGCGAGAAGGGCGTGTATGAGCTTGAAGACACGAAGAGGATCTTGCTGGCCGGTCGAAACATCGGACTCCGGATGAACTTCCACGGCGACGAGCTGCATCCATTAGGCGGAGGCGAGGTCGGTGCTCTTCATTGTTCCCGTTCCCTTATTCATGTGCATTTATCGTCTTCGCGGAGAAATTCTGGGTTGTATGTAATGATTCAAGCTATAAAACTACTGTATACATCCGGACTTTCCAGTCGTAAATTTGCGATGCTCAAGTGCTGGAGTATTTTGCGCATTACAGTGTACATGGAGAGTTTGAGACAGACGCTGCAGTTCTTATTATTGTACAGCAACTATAGCGCATTGAAGGTAGGAATATTTTTGAATTTTGTTCGTCCCGAAGAAAAGTTGGGCCAAGTACTCTTGACTGAGGTTTTCAACTCATTTTTTTTACCTTCTTATGGAAAAATTTCTGCGGAGAAGCCCTTGAACAAAATATTCGGATTTTTCATCTTGAGTTTCAGACATAACCTGTTCTTGATGTCCCAATTTATTGAGCATGACGCTTTTCGTTTATCTTCGATTTAATTCACTTTTTTTCCCTTGAGCAGCCACCTGCAGTTGATAACGTTCAAGTTTATTAATTTTTTTTTAAATAAAGTTATACAGTATTATGGTGACACGTGCTAGAAATTTTGAGAGCGTATACCCGTTACGTTGGGATGAATTGAATAAAAATATGTTACAATCTGGTCTAAGTTGAATTTCAAGGGACCAGCATCAAAATATTCAAAAATATTCGAATTACGGAGGTTTAAAGTTAGAGAAACAAGTATCTTTGTTGTCCTGGGAAAGATAAAATTTCAGGATACAGTATTGTAATTAGTGATATTCTGAGCCATAAATTGCTTCTTAAATAATAAGTTGACAGGATGCTGAATGTATTCGAGGCAAGGGTTCATTTACCCAGCAATTATTCTTCAATTTCCTTTCAAAAAACCACCTTACTTTTTTATTAATTGATTTTATTTTTCTTGTTTCAAGGAAATAATAGTCAAAAGACTTCAGGAAATTCGAGTGACGGAGGTCTGAGAGGAAAAGATTCGAAAAAAAATCGACTGGTGGCGGTTCGAGTTATTATTGAGGTTCAGCTGTAGCAGCAGACGAAAAGTGTGCAATTTTCTCGCGTGCTCGTGATCGTTTTCAAAATGGCAGCATCTTTTTATATTGTTTCGTTCCGTAATTTTGCATCAAGCTGGGCGGTGGAATCGGAGCCGAAGCAATCAGCCATTTGGAGCAGCTGAGTGAGGCCGGGATACAGAAAATGGCCGCGTCCGGGACTTGTGCCGTGTTGTTGCCGACAACCGCGCTCGCACTGCAACTCCCGCATCCGCCCGTGCGGAAGATGATCCAGGCTGGCATTCCTGTCGCCCTTGGCTCGGATTTCAACCCAAACGCTTTCTGCCTGTCGATGGTAACTGATCGCATCTTTGTCCGAGCTGTGTATGTGTGTGTGTGTGTGTGTGCTTTTCACGCAGTGCGTCTGTTGGCAATACTGTATAAGATCGATTGTGATTTCTGGTGCTGCTGCTCCTGCAGTCTTGCATGACATGACGTCAGGAGCTTGTATATAGGGAGATAAAGTATAGACAGGGGGAGAGAGACAGTGCTTGAAGGAACGAAAGAACGGGGCTTTGGGTGAGGGGGTTTGTATGTATTCTACTGCTGGACGTTGCTGATTCACCTTTCGTGGCTGGGGACCTCACGCTGATAAAGGGCAGCTCATTTCCCGGAATGAAAGAGGTTTCCCATGTTTCGCGGACGCGATGCTTTCTGCTGAGATCACGAGCGAAATCGGAAAATGCTGTATTTCACGGAAATGGATACGATTGATCTGGAATACGATGAGGTGGATGATGGGACGAAGTTTTTTCGTCTTATCAGAGTGCATCGTAAATTTTCTCTGTTGAATTTGGCCGCCAAAAAGCTCCAGCAGAGGGATGGACTTGACTGATTTTCATTCTATACAGTACTTATACTTATGCAAATCTTATGCCTTCTTATGAGAGTTGAGAAAAAGTACGGTGCAAGTAAAATTTACTCCGTTCATCAATGTTATTTTTTTCAAATTTACAATACTACAAATTAATTCCGAATAATCTCAGATAGTTTTCACGCTCTTTTTAAACCACGAACGCGTTCATTTTGACAGTTGATTCCGGATTCCTTATTATTGTTAACATATTTTCGGTTTAAAATCTAGAAAGACTATTTTAAAAATCTAATTTATGCTGATTTTCAATTGTTTGTTGAAGTCCTGTGTGTTTCAGGCTCCGCAGGAGGAAATTTCATTCGATTTTTATATTTTTAGGGAAAAATTGCAATTCCTTTCTTTTTCCTTCTTTCAATTTAATTTTTTAGAAAAAAAACTTTTACACAATTTTCGAACATTAATAAGTTTCAAAAGCTTTTTATCGCTTGGAATTACTGATGCATATTTTGATTTAAAATCCTGAAATAGATATCGGAAATATTTTTCTGCATTATTGATATGATTTCTAAATGCAATACTCTAGTTTCTTTTGCGGTTTTTGTTCAGGAGAGATTCCTGACGTTCAAAGTTTTAGAATTATTTCTGAGTAGATTGGAACGATTTTTAAATTTTTGCGGGAAGAGCAGGATAATTCCTGGAGATGATCGTCGGGATTAATGTTTTTCATCTTCGTCTGCGGAATCTTGTAGCATATTCTCTTGAACACCTTTATTCTTGACGCAGCAATTTTCTTAGTTGTGTATAGAGTTTAACGCACAGTTGTGTGGTTTTCTTGTTGATTTGTGGTTCCGTGACTGTGCTGCTGCGTATTGACCCTGTTTCATTTGCTGTAATGCTGGGTGTACACGAACTCATTTACTCATCTGCTGAGAGATTTTTCATGATTTTACCCCCTATCGGTTGTTCCTGTGCTGTCAAGGGATAAAAACTGGGCTATCAAGTACCTACATTGTATACCTGCATGCGATCCTTCTCGAGAAGTGGTTGGATTAGTTGAATATTGTCCTACTTTATCATGTTGGAATAAATTATACCGAGGGTAAGTCGAAGGGTTTGGATATCAATGTTAGATTTCACGAGGTATTCCGTAAAAATGTAATTTTTTTTAAACCGACTATTTCGGTGGTGTCTATCTTGGGCATTGTCCAGATGTTGAGGCAGATTTTTTTTTTACTTCGAATTGTCGGTGAGTCATATTTACTTTATGGACTGTGTACTTTTGTGGGAACATCTGCATGTTTGATCACTTTTTCCCATAGACTCCAATGGAAACATCTTGAATGAATCCGCGTTTAAAAAGAGTAAAAATTGAAAAAAAATTCATTAAAAAAAATTCTTCCAAACTTTGTGTCGACTTAAAAAAAAATACGGAAAATAAGTGTGCAAAAAAACACAGGCACGAAAATGAGTCCAAACAACACAATTATTCCCTAAACTGCGCACAAATACTGAAGAACCCCGAAGATAAAGAGAAGAGCAAAAATACATTGTTTTGGATAATGAATCAACGTTATACTCAAATTTCAATGCGATTTACTTAAAAGTTTTGTGAGGGGAATAAATAGCCAAATGTGTTCAAGAGGTATCAAATTTCTTTAAAGAAACAATTTTCTGGTTATGTCGGCAAAGTGTCCATTTCTTGGACATTTTCCAGATGTTCTTGCAGAATGTTAGTGTCCCTAAATCGAATTACGCGCAATGATTCGACCCTAACACCGTAATCCTGAAATTGTGATGCATCATTTAAATATAGAACCTGAAAGAATAAAGGAAGAAAAAAAAGTGTCGGTTAGCACTACGTAGAGCGGACACACTACAAGTTTTACAGAGAAGGCCTCAGTAATTACCGACGGTGGTATTTGCGTCGCATTTCCTTGGGCAAGAGTGAGACACACGGTTCCCTGGAAGTAGGGAAATCCGGCGACATGTTAATCCTCGATACCGACAAGTAAGTGGAATTCCATGCTTCCTGTATATACATACCCGACCTTCGCTTTTCCGGTTTCATAATTGAATTCACGACGACCCCCGGTGGTTGTTCCGAATTCGGCTGGTGGAAATTTCTGGGCCAAGCCGAGGGGGTGCGAGAAAACTTACGGACGAAGTTTTGCCCCCCTGCAGCCCGAGAGAAGTTTGATCAATCCCGTTTTTCTGCCCTGTGCCACATGTGTGCGACCTTTTTTTTATTGTTGCTGCGCTAAAAAATGAATGGCTTTTTATTCCGTATATGAATAAGAAAAAAAATGAATGTTTCTTGCGTGCTGCATTCCTGGAACTGTCATTGCCGCGCGAAAATCTTGAGAATAATGGCTAAAATCGACCCCCACGCCGGATTTCCATGAGATAAACGGTCCATGAACCATTCGGTGAATGACCCAGGAAATATATATTTACGCCGTATATAATAAATATCCAGTCGGGCTGATTTACAAATTTGGAATATTTTTGAAGGATAAATATCCAGAACCATTCTTTATTATACTCAGGAGCATCTGCATTAATGTCGAGACGTTTCTCCTCATAAAGTCAGCTGTTGATCTTTGAAAATTATCTGTGCAGGGGATATTTTGTTCTGAAAGTAAACTCTGGTTTTTATTCAGATCAGCTTCGAAATAATAATATAAAACTCATATCTTCCTGGTGTGATTTTCTTGTACTGTACCTGTATAAGCATATTATTCTGGCCATTGCCTCAAATTTGCGATATATCAAAAAAATTGCTTAGGTGTACCAAAATTCACTGTAAATGATGAGGAAATGTGAGTGTGGAGAATTTTAAGAGAAATTAATAAAACTTGAGAATTTGGTTGGGCTGCAACTGGGGTGTTTTCACACTACTTTAAAGTTGGTATAATTTGGTTCTTTTACAAAAACACTTCCAAGTTTTGCAACCTGTCTTGAGTGATATGCACAAGAGAATGAATGTAAAAACAGAGAGAAGAGAATTAGGAAAACTATCCTTCAAGGATAAGTGAAAAGTTTTAGAAGTTAACCTTTGAGTTTCTCGAATTTTAGTCATGATGCAAAAACCTTGGAGGTTTGAGAAAAGGCGTGAGAACTGGAGTTGAGCCCTGTTCTCACAAAGATGCACAATAAATGAACAGAACACTTTTATTTGCCGCTTTCCAGTGTTCACAAGGTTCAATCAAGATTTCCACATCCAAACCCCCTCCCCACCCAACCCAAATCCACTCCAAGACATTTAATCACTTCAGAGCAGGACACAGAGCACAAATGGGTGACAAAAGTAAAAGAAAACACAATCCACAAAATACAACTGGAGATCTGACATGTATGCATACACCCATTCATTCCCTGACATTGAAAACAAAATATCAGTAAAAATTAATTTGAAGCACAAGGCCTTCAGCTTGTTTCTGTATGAAGGTTAGTTGAGTGAACAATTTAGAGAGAATTAAGATGCTCAAGGACAATTTTTTGGAGAATACCAATTACAATTAGGCGTGACAAAATAGCGTTTTGCCATTTTAATTTGCGACAGTGAGGTCAAAAGAATTCAGCTCTTATTATTTAGGATTATTTTTTAAAAGATAAAATCTAAACCGGTGTCAATTTTTGTAAAGTAAGTTCTGTGTACATTTTTGAGCATTTATTTATGTATTGCAGACGTCCTTGGGTTTGCAGTACTTGATGATGATGGAATCTGTTGATCAAATTTTCCAAAGTCATTGAAAAAAAAAGAAAACTCTGCGCAATTCTGATTTTTTGTTGACTGCAATTTACATTCTTGAATCGCAGTCCTTTTTCAGATTCGGCTGCGCGTGCGGGAATATTTCCGTTATTGCTTCTCACCAAACTTCTCAACACAGATTTCCATATGCGCAATAATGAAATGCTGATCAACAGCCATCCAAAATAAACAAAAACCCTCACCCTTTACAGGAACAATCATTTCCATACGATTTCTATGCTCGACTAAACGTCTCAACGTGACGCTTTTTAATCTCGGGGCCGCGAAAATAGCCCTCGATCATGTGCTTTATACGTATATGATTGCTTGATAATTCATCCCTACAAATTCATGATTGCCACATGGCTCCTTGAATATATTTTTGAGAGCGTTTTCGCGATTTTTATTTTATTTTCATGATGAGCCGGACGTAAACAAGTCTCGCATGCGTAATTTTGCGACGTTTCCGAATTGGGGAAGAGCCCAATTCGAAAGCAAATGACGGCGGAGATGCGAATCTCGAGAGATAAGTCAGATTTGAAAGAAGGAAGTGAATGAATGAATGCTTTCTGTGCCAGTACTGTACAAGCTTTGATTGTAAGATTGTTCTGGTAATATTTTGAATGTGAAGTTCTTGTTACAGATGCTGCAAAAAATGTGAAAAAAACGACAAAGCTGGTGTTGAAATGGCAGAGGAATTATTTGTAGACAGAAAGCTGAGAACTTGGCTTGAAATTTTTTGTGACACAAACATGAAATGATGAATTTTTATTTGGAACGACAGAAGAAAATAAAGATCAGGGATGTTAAGAATAGAAATCTTCAGTATTGAGGATTCAAACTGATTGGAATAGTTTTGAAATTACAGCATTCGGTTTTATTCGCCCATCAATTTTTCTCCAAAAATTGTGTACTATCAATTTAAAAATACAGCGAAATCTCATTACTAAAAACTGTGAAGGGAAAAATTCGTTGTGCTGAGATTCAGTTATTTTAACACACTTCGGACCGAAAATCTTTTGAGAAATGGATAAATTTCTCAAATTGCTCCTGCGACGCGTAATTTATACGCGTCGGTGAATTTAAAAAGAAAAGATTGTTCATTTGAAGGAAATTAGCCATTGCTGAATTTTGAACTGAAGCGAAAGAAATTCTCAATCAACCCCTATACTTTTGAAATACTAACATTTACTTGCTTTTCATGAACTTATACTAGACTGCTGCGCAAATTAAATTGTGCCATTTCTCCGCCAATTTTCAAATAATCCCTGTATGGCCCATTATATCGTGGAATCGAGGCAAAAATTATGCATTTTCCTGAGATTAGCGGTAAAAAATAAGTTTTGCTGAAATGAGATTTGTATGGTTTGGTTCCCATGAAGAAACTACCGGGTTCCAGAAAAAATCGTTGCTATGAAAATTTCTTTATAACAACTATGGGTTACAGCGAAATTTTTCCAGACCTATTAATTTCCATGTTTAACTCATTAAATTGCGATATGTATCATCAGTCATTTAGTTTGCGTCAGTCATCAATTATCATCAGTATCCTGATCATAAATTTTTGCACTTTTTGCGAGAGAAATTAATTAAAGCTCGTCAGAATATATTTTTTGAAAGCAATCGCGAATCCCAGCGTATTTTTCCAATGCCCTCCGTTTTTAGCGTGTGGTCGGTGTTCTTTTTCTGCGAACAGAGCATTCTTCCCAACAACTCCTGCATTTATTCATTTATTTATTTATTTTCTAAAGATATTGTCCTTGACATGCGATCTTCCTTTTCGTGTCTGCCCATGACAGGTGGGAGAACCTAATCTACCAGCTGGGGATGGCGGACGATTTGATCGCCGCCGTAATCATTGCTGGCCAAGTGGTGCACCGCAAGTGAGTGCTGACGTCAATACGTGGTGTCCTTAAGGCCGCCGAATCTGGGGACGACTGTGAATCGAATTATGGCAATGGACCCTGTCGAAAAAAAACTATACGGATGTTGTCTTGTGTATGTGTGTGTTTAGGACATCGTGTATTCGTCCGGGGTCTGCTCAATATTCGCTTCCGGTCAGCAGCTATACTTGCGGTTTAATTTTTTGTCCCTTGTTTTGAATATTGTAGGCTGAGTACTAAGTAGAATAAGCTTTTTTTAATGTTGTGAATAAAAATGTATTATTGGAGTTGACATTTTCGTCATTTATTGCGTTGTCTTCAGATGGAAGTTTAATTCCAGCGATGCGATTTAGCAAGAACCTATCCATCTTTATTCGAAAATTTGTTTGAAGACTTGAAGTAAAGTTAAGTTGAAGTTACATTTGGCTGAATAGGATAACTTCGGTCAAAAATTTCGCTTCCTATAGTCGAGTTCAGATAGGAAAAAGATGCAGGTCTTGATAAATTCGAGTGCTATATGGAGTTTATCCAGGTTCGTGGATTGTGCGTGATGATTTCAATTTTGAAATATATAATCAAGATTTGTTTGTCTCTTCAAGCTTTCACGCATATTCATTCATGCACTGTGCTGTGTGAGCGATTTTGAAGCTTCGACTCTCGTCCTTTGTGAACTGAATATAAAGAATTATTTCCGTTGACAAGTGAATGTTCTTTTTATTTTCATGATTACGCGTGTGGTTTCAACGATTTCAAAAACCGCGAAATAGCGAGACAAACAGTATGTGGACATCGAAACAAAATCTGTAAAGAGCAAACTTGTTTTTCGGGGGTTAGTTGGCAGAAAAATCTTTTCGGAATTACTTTGGGGACCTGAGCTGCAGAGTTCATCATTTCCCAGAATGTGGCATCCACATGTTGGATTTAATTTTACCATAGCTTTCAATGGTATCGTTTTTAATCCCTTTTTATATTTGGCAAATATCAATTGATGAAGGTCCTAAAAAATATAAATTGAAATGTGTTTCTGGACCTTAAAACACACATGTATCGTTATTAATCCCATCATATATCGGGCGAAAAATTGATTGGGGAAAGTCCAAAAATAGCCATTACAATTTTTGTTCTTGATTTTAAAACACTAAAAATAATGATTTATTTATGATTTATTGATTTGATTTATCTTGATGCATGGGCCAGATGTCAAAGCATTTTTCAAAGTGTCCATAAGTTGAATTGTCTCATAATGTATGGGTCCACTGTCTGGCTCTTTAATTGAGAAATATAGGAATTATTCTACATACAGTATTTTATTTCACCGCCAAAAATTGCTCTTAAAAACATGCTCCAACAATTGCACATGTTCAAGCAAAAATTGTTCAAGCTCGTTATAGAAACAAAAGAAGAATGATATGATTTCTTTCACTCGAGTTGTTTTTTTCGTTTTCAATCAATTCGATGTAGGCTTTTGCGGCGAATAATTGAGGAACGTGCAAAATATTTCCCCATTCTGGGTGCTTGAGTTCCTCGTGACTTCTGAAGGTAAAGGAGGGCTGAACTTCAAAATTGCACAAGAATGGGGGCTAAAAATCGGCATTACCTGGTAATTTTCTTTGAATTTCGGCCAGAAACGTTAATAATTACTTGCTGGAAAAAAGTAAAAAAAAAAAGCATGCAGGAACTGGAAGGGCCATCATTTATTTTTATTGTCAGCGCAAGGGGAACCCCGGTGATAGCAGACCACACCCCAGGAGCTTGTTGAACTGCTGCCATTAACCCAGATTTGGGGCCTAACCCCCTCCTGGGTGCCGTGAATCAAGCGTCCTGCAGCCAGCAGACCAGCGCCTGATGTGAACCCCGGGCCCAAGGGATCGATGCTGCGCGTGTCCCCGGAATAACTGAGTCATCGCGGAAAACATGTACTGTGCAGTACCGAAAGTATTATATGTATAGGTACTGTATATATAAATATATATATATACACAATATACATGTAGGTAAGCCTATGGATTTGACGTTTAAATTATAGTTCAACATGGTACCCTGGGTAATGAACGCTGGAATCCCACGATTAATTTTTGGGCGCGAAGAAATTCGTCTACCACGTATAATATTTGCTCCTTTATATATACTGCATTGAAAAAAAAAATTCCGTTTAAAGAACATAATAAAATTTGCTGTGGGAAATTTTGCTGAAAGACAGAGTATTTTCCCACTAGATATATACTGAATTATTTTTCAAAATAAATCAAAATAAAATAAATCAATAAATTCCAAGTCAAAGCCTCCCTAAGTCAAATTTTTTTTCCTGGTCTCCAGAAATTTGACTTAAAAAGGTTCAACTGTACAGTGAGACCCCAAGATGCAGACGTAATTGGTGCATCAAGAGTGTCCCCAAGTCAAAATGTCCTTAAGTCAAGTCTTGTGTTTTCCCATAGACTTACATTATACAATTTTTAATTGGTGTTTTCTGGAAGAAATATTCTTCAGAATTCCCTGAGAAAAATTGTTTACCACTTGAATTTGAATTAGTGAATACATTTTCAACTCAATAAGAACATTTGGAGCATTGACTAGTGTATCTCTGTACTGTACATTGAAATGTTGGCATCCACAAAAATAACATTCAAGTGAAAAAAAAATGTAGAAGTCCCACTATGCTGGAGGTAATTTTCTAAAATTAGCTAAATGGATGGTAATCTGGTGAGAGAAATGCCCAAGAAATTTTCTTACATCAATTTTAGTGTTGGAAATATCTGTTTCTTGCTATTTGGCCTGAAATATATTTGCAATTTTATCGCAAAATGTCCCTATGTTGAGTCAGTGTCCTCATGTCAGGCTTTATTCATTGATTTTTTCTGGGAAAAGAAGTGTCCCTATGTCGAATTGTCCGCATGTCGAGGCGTCCGCATGTGGGGGTCCCACTATGCAGTACCTTTTATGCATTGTGGAAGATGATTTTGAAAATGTGACGTGAGATTCAAGCAGTGATTGATTTCGAATCATCTGTTTACAGAGAATCGTGACTCTTTAGTGAATGAAATCTAGGTGAGAAAATAAACTGTAAATTTCCGGGCAGTGATGAAAATATGTCCGCGAAGCAAATTCACTGCTTGAAATTAATGTTAAAATTTGATTCAGTCTACAATCACATCTCCAAAATTTTACAGAAACGCCAGTTGCGTAATTCTTATTACGACACAAATGAAATTAAAGAGAGACTCGGATGAAAAATGCAGTGGTTGTACACAGATCCTTTGGGATTTAAAAACATGCGCAGGTGAATTACCCAGCAGCAAGAGCTTCTATGCTAGAAAAGACGGGCAGAAGAATTATTCATGCAGTTCAAGGAGTCGTCGAGAATATGACGGAGAAAACCCGCTTCACGTCATCTCAACATCGAAAGGGATCTTTCGATGTTGAGATGACGTGCGCAGGTCAAGGCATCCGCATGTGGGGGTCTCACTGTATTTAGTCAATGACGGAAGTTTGGCTTCTTTCTAGTCAACTTTCAATTGGGTACATCATATTTGTACCGTAATTTCAGAAAATTCCATTAATATGTGTCTCTTTCATGTGAACTCTGAGAATTTGATTGCTTTTAACGTCTGTAATATAGTCGGGTGTTATATAACATCTAAACGACAGAATATTATTCCCTTGTACTGCTGTAACCTGGGTCAGGTCAGCATAATGTATTTAATTTATTCATGTATTATTGGTTCTTGCTCGAAAGAGGGATAGTTGGGAAAAATAAATCTCCGGTGGACATCCCGAAGAAAAAATGCAGCCCCGTATATACCCGTATGTTGAAGGGTTCCGCTCATCAGAAAAACCCAGCTTCGTTTCTTTTTATGCCACTGGCTTCAACAGATTGCATGTATAGAAAAAAGGGATTTATCCTTCCCTCTCGCCACACGTTTGCTGAAATCACTCCACTGATGGGAAATGGCAGGCGATTTTATTGCAAAGGATTCGGCTCATGCTGGTTCCCATATCCTGGCTTTACACGAATCCGGCGAACTTGTATGCATATATCCTATACATATACAGTACATAGGAAGGAGATGGTGTTTGTCCATGCGTGAATATGCCAAGTTTTTTATGAGAGTCGCTTTTATTTGGCCAGCGAAAAAATAACGATTCCAAGTTTTTTTTTTAATGGGTGATAAGGCAAATGAACCGCAAAAGATGAGTGAGTTTAAAAATTATATGGAGACCGATCGAGGCATTAAATTTGACGGTAATTATGATCCTCATCATGAACTCCCTTTTTTTTTAGAGTATCGTTGTTTTCTGGAATAAATCCATAATAGCGTACTCTTCAGTGAAATTAAAGACACTGGGTCCTAGGTACAACGACTTACTTTATGACATTATTTTATGCATTAATATTTTATATGCGGCCATAAGAGGGTTCTATTCCTTATAATATTCTTCTAATAGTGCCGTCTCTTGCAAAGCCTCATGAGGATTTATGCTATTTCGACACTTCTCCATGGAAGAATGGATCGTATCAGTTACATCTTTTTGCCACATCGAAAAAGAAGAAGAAGATGAGGGATGACCTGGAATAACCCACAAGGGACGAGTCCAATTTTCAACCCAGTCTCCCCACGGATCTTCATTTTCTTCTCCCCAGTGGAATTGAAGTCTTATAATATATTCCTGGGATCTTTCTTCGTTTCTGCTGGACTCAGTTCATGCGACTTGGGTTTATATACAGTATATACTGTAATTCCAACGCAACCCATTATAGAGATAAAACGGTGAGTTACGTTGTTAAAACATTCTAAAAGAGGTTGTTACGTAAAATACTAAAAAAGGAAATTTTAAAAAGACACCAGGGTATTACCCAGAGGTGGGTAAATGTCTTCAAAATGTGTTAGAAATTATCTTTATACAAGTTGGACCTCTCTAAGTTGAATTTCAAGGGACCAGCAAAAAAATTGACTTAGGGAGGTTTTGAATTATAAATGTTTGAGCTACAGTAAAAAGCCTCTTTTTCTGGGAAACTTGGAAAAATTGCTCAAGTTTGCAAATGGTGATATTCTGGTGTTTAAATGAGTGTTTAAATGAGTTGAAAGGATGCTGAACTTGGAGACACTGGTTCATTTACCCAATTCACTTCTTTTAAAACACATCAATTTATGTTTTTATTGCCTTTTATTTCTTGGGTCAAGAAAATAATGGCCAACAGGCCACAGAAAATTTGACTTATGGAGATTTGAGGGGAAAAGACTTTGACTTAGGGAGTTTTTTTATGTATTGCTTCTAATAAGGGGACCAGAAGAAAATTTGACTTAGGGGGGTTTTTGACTTGGGGAGGTTTGAGTTTTAGAGGTTCCCTTGTACAACCCATTTTTGTATTTCTCTGCATTTGTTGTAGTAATAGGTACCCCCAATAAGCTGCCACCCTAAATAACCACAACTTTTTTTTTTAATCTTCAGTGATGATACAATTATTGGAAACCCTGTTAAAACCCCATTTTTTCAAAATTATTCAGAACTCAAATGTGCTCCTTCCATTAAATTTGGTCTTTGATAGCCCATCAGCAAGATTCAGATTTTTTCAAAAGGTTTCTGATCTAAAAAAAAAACGCAACACAGCAAAGAAGACATAATTTACTTCTTGGGAACATGTAATTACACAATCCAAGGTTATTTTGATTGTTTTCTAGAATAATACTAATTTGTTCCCTATTATGCCTAATTGTCGTAGTATTTTTGCTTTTTTGACAAACTACCAACCCCATTCGATGGCCACAAACCTCGGAAAAAAATTGTGGTGGCTTATCAAGGTTTGACCGCACTGCATATGGTTTACGCATTTATACAAACTATATTGACTTCAGGTATATTGGAACTCTTTTCCCAGTTTAAAAATGTGCATATGCTGGTCCTTCCTGCAAATAAAATTAGTACATGAATTGAGCCAATTTTACATCTATCAAAAGGAGGGCGCATGGATAAGGATCCATGGATCCCGTCTCCTCCCATGTTTTTTGTGCATTATTGAGATTTTCCAATATGATTTCAGCGCTTGCAGTTTACGTAACACACTTTTCATATTCGTCTCTCGTTAACGCAAAGCTTTCAAAATGAAAAAAAACTTTTTGATGATAAAACTCCAGCATATTTAGTCCGGGTTATTCTTTCAAGAGCAGTGTAATCTACACTTCCGTGAATCAATAAGTTTTCATTCCTGAAACTTGAACTTCTTGAGGACTTTATCGGCTATTATTCTTGAGACCAAGGAAATGCAAGAGCAGTAAAATGTGACTGGGCTTATCAGAAAGGAAGGGAGTTACTATAATTGGGCAGATTTATAAACTTGCTTTGAAAGTTCAGCGTCCTGTCAACTTATCTATCCAGCAGATTGATGCACAAAAACATCAACAATTTATCTCCTTGGAAATTTCACAAAAATATTTTCTAAAAAAAATGTCTCAGTTACGCCCCATTTGAAAAGTTATATATATTCAGAATTGTTTAGGTTCATCCGAGTTTGACTTATAAAGAGGTCCGACTGTAACTTTTTTCGAAAATTTTAAAAGGGGAACTTATAATTATCAAATTTGTTGTCATGAAGAACGAATATAATTCTGGAGATTTTTGTGACTTGATCTCACTCGCGTTGTTGAAAATTTCCGAGATGACACTTTGGATTCTGAAAGCTTCCAAAGAAATCGAAAACTGCATGCTATATCAAATGTGTAAAACTGCATCAAATATGTTATTTAGGATGATAAATGGGCGCACTGAGAATTTTAATACGATATCAATTGCTTTTGTAATCATTTTTCCAGCCCGGGTTTTTGCGAGAAATCGTCCAAGACCAAAAGATATCGACCGTCATCAACTAATTATATTTTGAATTAAAATTAAGACTAATTTTTGAAATTTCATAGTAAATCCCCATTATTAATCTTTCATTAAAGATTCATAATATTCTGACTGAAATATTTATAAAGCGCTCAGGAGTTTTACAGAAAAAAAGGAAATAAGAGTAGAGTACCGCATATAATGCCCAATTTTATTCAACATATTTGCACAATAATCCTTCGAGGGATAAATTTATCGGCGAATTATTCCAATGTGGCATCTATTCGACACAATGATATTTCGTGAAGCTCAACCTCTCAAGGCATCAAGTCGCCAAATTTTGATGACTTTCTGCTTGAAAAAGGAAAAGAATCGCATTTCCTGGGCGGAGTGGAATTCATGATCATGCATTATTCTGAGGAATGGCTGTTTTATGCTAAAGAATTCAGGAGAGGAAACGACTGTTCGTGATGATTTGCATGTAACTTCTTACTTTACTGGGTCGAGAGAAAAAAAATTGGCAAAGTGTGATCATGCATTATTCTGAGGAATGGCTGTTTTATGCTAAAGAATTCAGGAGAGGAAACGACTGTTCGTGATGATTTGCATGTAACTTCTTACTTTACTGGGTCGAGAGAAAAAAAAATGGCGAAGTGATGCAATGACAGACACTTAGATAGAGGTTGAAAATTATGAACAGACAACCGTGGATTCAAACTCTTCGGGGTTCTTATTTCTGATATATAAAATTGAATGGGTTTCCCAAAATTTTTGAGAAATTTGTGGCTTCAAAAGTGGGCCATGAATTGGTATCAAGAATATTTTTAGTTTCATTTCGCTCAGCAGAAGAAACAAAATATTTCAAAAAGTTGTTTCTCATAATATTTGTCCAATGGAAAATTTTTAAAATCAAGTAGCATAGTCGGGACTCAGCGAAGGTGTTCATCGGGCTTTTATACTTCTTTAGTTAGAGTATAAGTAATTTTGAAAATTTCATTTATTTCAATTTATGCATTGCAACGAATAATTCCATCAAGACGTTCTTTTTTTTCAGCAGTCATATGGGTAAATATTTTATGTATTTTCCACATAATTGCCTAGATGATTTCCTTGAGTACAGCACAATTTCTTAGAGCCATTTTTTTATTCATGTGATGTTTACCATTTAAGTCACTGTTTTTTTATTTTAAGTTAAAAAGGTAACTACAACTGTTCGCACTGAAATTGTTTCGTTGCTGTATCAGTAATTGCAAACTAAGGTCACACTGTAACATTGTAAACTCACTTTAGTTTAAGAAGAACAACTAAATTTGACCTGTGATCAATTTATGTCTGCGACGGAATTACTTTAGTTCGTTTAGTAATTTGATACCAATTATAATTTCCTGCTCTCTAATAGTGATGAATTTGGGTGCTTTTTTCTCGATTTTTTGGGAATAAAGTGATAACTATACTGGGTTGAAGTAAAATATTTACAAAGTTTTTTCATGTGTATGGAAATAATTAAGGGAAGCAGGATGATTATGTTAAATCATTAAAAAATTGCATTTCAGCGTTCCAATATTTTTATGGATTTATTTGAATCACCCTTCATCGACGAGATGCTTCCCATTGAAAATGATGAGAGCTTATAGACAAACTTGAAAAAAGAAGAAATAACAAAAAACGGGTGGAATTCTGAAAGAAAAAGTGCATGATGGTGTGACAGCATGACGTGATGGTAGCAATTGAGACTCATGCTTTTCCGGCTCTGGAAAGGAATAATTTCGCGTCAGAAAGTGGAAGACAGACATCAGCTCGAGAAGTTCCAGACATTTTCACTGCTGGGCATCATGAAAGCCTCTCTGGTTGAAAATAAAATAACTCGACTTCAACCTCTGGAATATTCGCCATTCCTTTCATTCATTCTACGAATTACTATATATGCAGCAAAAAGGCTGCACATATATACAGGAACAGAAAATGTGAAATTCACAGCATGTACAGTTTCACTGCTGGACAAGCATCATGAAAGCTTCAAGGGGTCATGCTTTTTTCTTCTTCTTCTTCTTTTTTTGGGGCGGTTTTGTATATATGCAGTACTGTATGTGGAGAACATTTCTACCCATTTGAGAACAACCCGTTGGTTCAGTATATGAGTCGTCGTATAGACAAATGGGTTCGCGTGACTTTCTAAGGATACTACGCAGCAGTCTGGACAAACTTCTTCTCTTTGCAAGGTTTTCGGTTGCTGACAGTTCATTTCCCATCCAACACGAAGCACTTCATCTCATCTTCCTAAACACGATAATAAATAAAATAATTTAGCATAAATCCTTGGCCCACCCAGGTAAAAAAAAATATTCCACCTTTACTCATGTACCATGCACAAATGTCTTGTTTTGCAAAAAGTCAAGTGGGAAAATTGAGTGTGGGTTTTATGCAAAAGTAAATTTAAAAAAATGGGGTGCATGGAATTATGCAAATGCCTTGGTGAAAAAATTTCAGACTTTCTAACCTCGCAATTTTGTGAATTTGAGGAACTTGAAGGATTTAAATTTATAGAATTACTGTACTGTACTTGGAGTTTATTCAAATGAATTTTAAGCCCAAATAAATTTCAACTGATACACATTGTTAGAATACTTATGCAGTATGTTTTGAGCCTGCTGTTGATGTTCTGGGAATATCTGGCACATATTGCATTTTAGACTTGAGGGAAATCATGTTTTAGGCAACACAACTTATGCTGAACCTGGATCTCTTTTTTTTATGCAGGCAAGCCACAGCAAAGGTAAAGCATCCTGGATTCAGGCAACAACACAGTTCAACGCTTTTCACTTTCCAAATCTTTCTGAATCAAAATTTTTTCAATTCAAATTTTCGAAATTTAGCCAGCCACTGTAAAGGTAAAGTATCCCAGATTCAAATCACTCACAGGAGAAAATACAGCAGTTCAGCGCTTTTCTCTTTTCAAAATTTTGAGAATCAGATTTTATTTCATTTCCATATTTTTATTATGCACTGTAGAGATTAGGTATCCTGGGTTTAAAAAATTCATATGGTAGAAACAAAGCAGTTCAATGATTTTCTCTTTCCAAAATGTTGTGAATGAAAATTAATCTTTCCAAATTTTTTTTTTGCGTAGGCAAACCCACTTACAGATAAATTATCCTGCTGGGGTTTAAATCATCCACATGTAAAAAACCTAGTTGAATGCGTTTCTCTGTCAAAAAATGTGTGAATTGTTTTTGTTAAGCAGGCAAGCTGCTTGAAAGATAAAGCATTATATGTTTAAATCATTATCATGACAAAAGCAGCGTTCAAGGATTTTATTTTTCCAAAATTTTGTGAAACAATTTTTGTTCTTTTAAAATTTTTCTCATGCCGGCAAGTCACTGTAGAGTATCGTTATTTTAAATCATTCAAAGGCAAGAACACAGCAATTCAACGCTTTTCTCTTTCCAAAATTTTGTGAATACAAATGTTTTTTGTTGTTGTTCGAATTTTTGTTACACAGGTAAGCAACTACTGTAAAGATGAATGATTCTGGTTTTAAATCAATAAGATGGCACAAGCAAAAGTCCAATTATTCCTATTTTCCACCTAGAAGCCACCACCCAATCCTAAACTCAACTACAGTTGTTCCACTACAATGAATGCATAACCTCACACCAAAACCACCTGAACTAATTATTTTTAACCCTTGGACAGCAGAGGGTTCTTTCCCATAGGGGGACAGAGTTGGATTATTTTTGTATCCTCCAGCATTTTCATAATTTCAAAGGTCAGGAAAACCCTTCCAGGTGGGATGAGGCAAAGTTGGGATTAATCCAGTAAAAGCCAGTAGACTAACTGAGCATTTTTTTTTTTAATTTTCCAGTAAACATTTTCTGTCCCCAGGGAAGAAACCATCAGGATTTTTCTCAACTTTGCTTTTAATGCCCTGTTGACATTTTTTTCTTCACCTCTCTGAGGTGCAGCAAAATTTTTGGAGAAAAGTCCAACTTCACTGCCCAAGGGTTAATAACCTAGCCAAAGACTTGATCATATGTAGGTAAATTTGCGGTAAACAATCAAAAGACAGGGATAATTTTAGACAGAAAAAGTTGGAGAAATGTACTGTGTACAATTCAAGAAAGGAACACTTTGAGACAGTAGCATGTGAAGAGCGAAACAGGGCTCCGAGAAGCTTGTGAAGTACCCCTCATCGTCCTCCGCGGGCTTCTCATGCACGATGCAGTCGAACCCGCCGCTCGCGGGTTTTCGTCAGTGCGCTCCCTGACGTTGGCCCCGCTGGTCGGCCAGCTTCAGTCCATCCACGATGAATCAGTCGTATATTGCATTCGCCAAATTCATAATTATTTACGGCGTCTTACCAATGGGAAACACCTTTATAGTTCTCTCATGCTCACAGTAAGTACATGTACAAGGTAAGAGGTATACTCAGGCATAAGTAGTGTTCGACATGACGATAAGAAGCTTACTTATTTCTACAGTATTCACCATCAGCGCGAAAGAACTGCTGTGTAGACAAGCCACGCTGTTTTTTTTTTCAGTTCCGAGGTTGAAAGTTCAATACAAAATTTTGGCGAAGCCCTCAGGAGAAGAACAATTTAATGAATGATTCTTCATTTTTTTCTTGGTAATTGTTCAACTCATCCATTACGAATTACAGCATAGGGAGGAGGGAATTATAAGATTAAATGCGGCATTGTATGTATTTTCACAAAGCTTTCACTTTTTTTCTTTTTTACAGAAAAGTGCCACTGGAAAGCCATAATATCATATTGCTACGCTTGTTGGATTGCATGCAACATCTATTTCCAAAAAAGGCGTCCGTTTTGATGAAAGATACCGTATTTAATCGAAAATGAGAACAAATTAAATCTTTTTCTTTCGTGAACATTTTTAGTTGTCACGAAGACCAGCGCAAGGATTATTGTTTAATTTAATTTTCTCGCGAGGACTTCTCAGAAGTTTAACGCCGAAGTTCGAGTCCGCGAGTAAAAATAAATGGAATGTTTGAAGACTTGTCAAAAAATAATGTAATTCAGCAATGGGCAACATGTATTAGAAGGACTTACGCATATATGATGTGCGAATGTTATATAACATTTCAACAGTGATGGTTCAAGAAGTGAGAGTCGCTATATACAGTATTCAAATAGGATGTGAAAAAGTGTTTGGGCTTGTGGTAAAAAATTCTTGAAATTAGAGGAAAGCGGGTTTTTGATTTTCGAAGTACAGTAACAAACATTCTTGCCTTGATTTAGCTGTTGAAAAAACTATGTACTGTACTGCAATTCCATCAACTATGGATTCAAAAAATTCAGCAGGTACGTGTACAGTAATATAATTATAACGAACACATTGGTAATAATGGTCCAATAAATTGATACGAAAAGTAAAGTCAATTCCGCTGATTCCTATATAGGCACTCTTAATTCTGCCTTACATTTCTGGGATCAACCTTCGCAGTACTCCTCTCAATTGTCTAAAAAAACTGTGTTTCAATTGTCGTTTTTTCGTGATTGAGTGAATTTATGCCTCACGTCAAATGATCGCAAGCGAAATATTTTTAGAACACACGTCATATCTCAATATTTATTGAATTTTTATTTAATCTTGATCATTTCTTTTTGATTTCACGCTCAGCTCAACTCATTAATTTTACGCATACTGTACAGTAAAATACTTTCGTTTTTTCGAAATGTATGCGTCCTCGTTTCAAAGACACGGGGAATGATTTCGATCATGCATTCTTCATGACTTGGGAGCTGCGCTTGGTTGCAAATAATTAAATAAATCTCCATGGATAAATGGAACACCGCGGACTTTTCGGCTCCGCTTAGTCCAAAGAAATAAATTTGAAATGTTCAAAGGTCACGAATGGAAAAGGTCATCATTTGAATTTGGTGACGCGGTGTGAGATTAAATCAACTCGGCAGCATGATGACGAATAGCGACGTTTTTCATGACGGTTGAAAATATCGTTTTTTTTTTCGTGTCGCGAATTTCATTTCACGAATCATCAAATTTAATTTCATTTGCTTGAGAAAAAAAATCAATGTTTTCTATTTTCGGATGGAAAATTACGTAAGGGCAGTAAAGAAATCCCGGCGAGATATGAATCCGTAATTTTTCCCACCGTCAGACCATCCGAAGCTTCCCGTCGAATCGGCCCCGATGATCGATATTTATTATCTTTCCAGCCCCCCCTTATTTTCTTTCCCAACGTCACAAAAAGAAAAGTAATCTTAGGGTTATATTCACTTAGTGACGACGTTAATCTCTTAGCTTGGAGTCAAAAAAAAGGGGAACCTCATTGGACCTAAAAGGCCGGGCAGAAAATTCTGGTCTGAGGAGCAACGCATCCACTGAATAATAGTCATTATTGTTTCGACCTCATGATATGGTAATGGTTATTCCTTCTTTTTTTTTCCGAAACTGAGGCGATGCTTGTCCTTGACAACTGTGCAATTTCCGGTGTGTGTTGAAAACCCAACTGCGGTTTTTCTTCTGGTCCACGGGGTGTTCAACCTTTAGCACCCGTGATAGTGAAGGAAGAATCGAAAATACTTCGGGTTTGGGTTATTCACCCTGTTTTTTTTTTCGTCTCTCAGTTCGGTATAATTATATATTATAAAGTTCCTCCTGATCTCCCTGAGTTACATTCGAAAGGGAATTAACAAGAAAATTTCCTTTAAAACTTTTCGAGTCAGGAAAACTGGAGCGGGAAATATTCTCCGCAAATTTGGGGATGAAATTCAGTTGGACCCCTGTAAGTTGAATCTATAGGGTTGAACAACAACAACATTTGTTTTGGTGAGATTTTGAGTGAGAAAAATCAGGGAAACTAGGTCTGAAAAATGCTTTCTTTAAATTTGAAAAGAACCAATTGGGTTTAAAGTTGGGTAGGGTAATACAAGTGGTACCTTGCAATTTGACCCCTGCATTTTCTGGGAGGTCAACTCTGCATTTGACGTCTGCCCTGGAATTTGGCCTCTCCTCCGTGTACTTTACAGTTTACGGTACATCTTTTGTATGGTAACCTACGACAGAGTGTTAAGTTACGTAAACGTTAAACTGGAATCGGGTCGTTGTCTAAACTCAGTTTAACTTTAAATTTTATTACAGTAAAATTATGTGATGAAGAATCCATCAGGTGCCAGAGAATAAAGCCTGTGAATGAAAAAATTTTTTTACAAAGAAATTCCAATTTTTTTTCTCAAAGAAGACATAGGGGTAGAGACCAAAAATCAAATTTTTTGTAAGCAATGATTCATTACAGCAAGATTCTTCTGTGTAACAGAATGGCTGCTGTAACTTACATTGTTTCACTGACAACAGTTGGGGTTGCAATACAGAACCAGAAGTCTAATTAGTGGGTCCTTGGACAGCAAAAGACTAAAATAAAATGTTGCATAACATTTTTTGAATTCCCAAAAAAATTATTGTTTAATATAATAAACGCTCCTTTGTCCTGAAGCTGAAATTATTGCTGTGCAAAGACTTGTACAGTCCCATGTACGGCATATACCTCTTCTTCCATCTGGCAGTTTGTGCAAAGGACATGTAGTGGAACATAAGATGACACCCTCTTCAGTTCTCAACAGTTCCTATATGTGTTGGGGAATTCCAGCTTCGAGATTGATTTATTTTTCAAATTTCTACGCTTTTATAAGCACTGAGAACTCGTCAAGGAACTCTACAACATGAGTTTTCTTTTTCGATTTTTCAAGAGCCTGTCTTCCAACACAAGGGCTGCAGAAGAGAATTTCTGAAACTAAATTCCAGATTTTAATTTTCGCAACCAAGAATCTGGAATTTCAGTTGTCTTATAGTGCGGAATTCAGGTAGACTGAATTTCAGGCGCTAAAACTCCTCAGACAACTAGTCTTACCATGCAAAAGTGAAGGCGCGAACCATATCTGCAAGTGAACAACTTAATTATAACTTATTACAAGTGTACATAAATTATTCTCCTCCCTACAGTAAATTATTCAATTTTAGTTAAGGATAGAACTTTGCAAGAATAATCAATTATCTAGATATATATACTGTATATACATGGCACTGAATCAACTCTGAGTCAATTAAACTTGAATTGAATTAATTGCTCATCAAATGTAGCTGAAAGGCACGGGCTTTTGTTAGCGCCTATGATGCTTAGCTTAATTTTCGGATCCATAAAACAGGAATTAGTCTGCTAGAAACATCTCTTAAAATATATGAAGAATTACTGGCTGACAGACTGTTGCAATGGTCTGAAGACAAACATTTATTTCCTGATGTCCAAGCTGGATTTCGCAACGCAAGATCAACAATTGACAATGTTTTCATAATGGAACTGATCCGTCGAACTAAAAATTACAAGGAGGGAATACTTATAGCACTCCTTGACCTTGCTAAAGCTTTCCCATCTGTTGACAGGCGAATTTTATTCCGCAAACTATCACTTCTAGGGGTATCCTTCAAATTCTTGAAAGCACTTGCAAGTTTGTATGATGAAACTGAGTTCCAAGTTATCACTGGTAACATGAAAGCCTCAGTCTTTAAAGCAAATCATGGATTAAAAGAGGGTTCCTGCTTATCACCA